TGCACCGGAGGTGGACATGGAGAAGGAAGAACCGGACATGCGACGCTGCTTTGAACCACCGTCGATAGCCATCAGATCCTCCTCAACAAGTGTACCATGCTTGAGGTCAAGAACAGGAATGGCTTCATCAGCAGTGAAAGAGTTACCCATTCCCATGGTCATATCGTAATCCATGCCATGAAGATCAAAGTGATCCTCAGTTGGCTTATCCATCCACGATGCTGTTTGGGATTAGTCGAGTGACATAGTGTAGTTTGAGATGCACTTACCGTTGCCCATCGTAGGAGGATAAAAGTCTTGGTGCATAGAAACAGGACGGGACATGGTCTCGCTGGGAGTTTGCTGGAACGAGACGGATGATGTGTCCCAAGATGGTACTGATGAGAAATCCTCGGCACCGCAGAAAGAGAGTCCTTGGTAAATAGGCATGGGTCGAGGCTTAGACTGGGTCACTGGTGTTGACCACATCTCATCTGAGCCCATCATGGACTCGGACTCGGTAAACTCGTTGTGATTCATTTTGATTGTGGGCTATGAGAGCCAGTTGTGAAGACTATCGCGGATAGCAATGAAATGGAGTGAAGTCTCAACGTTGATGTTGCTGTAACATCAACTGTAAGTCTCGTGTGAATATAGGTGAAAGGAAGGACAAGAATCATGAAGCATACAGTAGGGTGTGACAAAAGCAGGAACAGAAGGGCCCTGTCAAAGAGCGAGCCGTTGAGCTAATATGCAGAATCTATCTGACAAGGGCTGCGTGGTGTTAGCATGAATCCGTGATGGACGATCATGGTAAACGGACTCAGGGTGTGAGGTCCACATCGTCGTTGGATCTTCGGGAGTGCCGCGGAACATCTTTGGCTTACCTGGGTAACTAAGAAGCAATGGCCAAGTCGAATGTGGGAGTAATTTCCGGCTTAGCAGCATGCGTTGTATGAAAGGTGTTGTAGGGAACAAGCAGCACCGGAATCAAGGCGGCTAGGCTATATTGGCAGCGTTATCAAGAAACAGGATCCTTTGGGCAGCTGGTGACGAAGACGCGTAGAGAGTGTATCGGTTGGTTGTCTTTATAAAGGAAAGTGGCGTAGTTGGTGAGCCTTGTTTTGAAGGAGAGGATGTTTAGACCGGGTCTTGATATGTGGAGGGCAGGCTCGTGATGTTATACGATTTGATGATAAGCAAGTGTTTGTGTTAAGGAATGACTAGAAAAGAAGAATAGAATTGCAAGAGAAGCGTATGCAAGAAAGGATAGGTCGAAGGGCGGAGCCGGAACCTGGAGGTATAAGAGCAGACGGTATGAAAGAGCAAGAGGCATCATCCATGGAGACAAGGTAGCTCCGTAAGTCAGGGACAGTCACCAGGGGAGAGGTTTGGATAGACGGGAGGGGCTGGACCGAGTGGATTCCAACACCCAACACAGACCGATCTATGAACAGGTACAAGAGAAAGCGGATACATAGTAGAGGAAGGAGGGGGCTATCCGGTGCAAAACAGAGTCGCAGCGCTGCCAGGATGGGATGGGCCCTAGCAGGTTGTGAGTACAGTACTATGTTCGTCAATAAAGTCAAGGAAGTTGAGAAGCCGGTGGGGCGACATGACAGGGGTATATACATGGATGTACATGACCCCGGACTAAGGGTAATAAGGCCACAGCTTTCAGTCGACAAGGCTGGCGGGCGGTTGATAGTGAGCTTGGTTCTTGTGAGGGGCGCAAAGAGTCAAGATGATGGTGCGAGGCATCCGAAAGAATAGAAATTGCGAAATGAAGGACCTGTATAGTATCGTAGATGGCCCAAACAGAGCCTAAGACAACCAAGAGTGGCGCAGGCTTCAAGAGTGTATGGCCAGGGTGTTTGATCGGGTCATTGGACCGTCCAGTCGGGCTGCACAACAGTGACTCGATGGAGGTGGCTTGTCTCATCCTATGCTGAAGAAAAAAGAGACGAAGGGGGATGTGTGGATGGACGGGCTGGCTGGTGAGTCGACAAGATCGAAGCTTTCATTGTATCGACTCAAACTGAGCCACGTTAGTCCCGTCTGGGGTTGACAAAACTTCCGACGAAAGCGAGCTACAACTGCAGGCACACCACATCTGTTTCTTGACACCTTGGCCAAGGTGGTACGGTAACTTGATGGCTCTGGGTCCTTCGTTTGGCACACCCTGAGTGTCGGCCGGCACGCCCCTCTGAAGCCCCGGGAGAGGGACAATGCGCGCTAGAGTCGAGACAGGCCAGGGTAGCAAAGATACGTATGCTATTTTTCACAACAGTTGAAACCGCTAAGACTCGGGTGTGATGGCTGGTGCGTAGGCTAATTGCTTGACGGGCACCATTATCGAAAGATTTCAGGAACCGAGCCGAATAACTACGGGATCGCCTAGATTAAGCCAGAGCGTAAATCTTTGAGGATGGCGTTTTTGACGGCGCGATATGGCGATATGATATCGTGCATACGTCAAAGACCCCATCTCTGATCCCCCGCACGAGGGGCGTCGGTATGGCAAGATGCAACGTCTGGGTCTCGATCGTACGGCGGTGAACACTCGAGGACCTTGATAAAGGTTTTGGATTTGGACGATACGTCAATTTGGTGACGGTAGTATAAGCAGAGTAGCAGGCAATCACAACAGCAGTGTATGTGTGCATTCTAGGTTGATAGGTCATCAGAAGATTTGTGTCTCAATGCGAGGATGAAGCAACATCACTTCGCATCGCGGCAGGCGACGCGCCCTGAAATCCAGGCTTTGGCCAGTCGATTGAGGAGGAAGGTGTGAAATTTTAGTGGCAATGAACGAATCGGAAGCATAGATGACCTATAGCAGAAGAAACGTCTGGTGCTAATATTGACTGATATGTGAGTTATCCAATTTTGAGGAGGCCATTGAGGCTCTCGATCTGCTCCCGCTTGGCTGTTGGAGGGTATATCCGACTGAGACCTACTGAAAGTATAGCTGAATCTACCTGTATTTCCGGCCTTGGCTAATGTTTACTGCCCGCTGTGCTGAGATTCGAGATGCACTGACGGGAGGGCCAGAGGTTGCAAGCGTGAGTGAGAAGACTATGACAAGCGAGTGTTTGAAGTTGAAGGAGAGTGGATCAGACAAGAACATATGATTTGCGAGAAAGGGAACAGGGATCTAATGAGAAGAGCGGGACGAGTCTCTTGTTCCTACCGTTTGGGAGTAGAGGCCGCAAATAAGGTCTTTTGATTGGAGAGAGTAACCACGTCTCAGCCGTGCGCAAGGAGACCGGCGTGTCTCAGATCTGTCGCAAGACCAGGGGTTATTAAACAAGGCCCACTGATACGTCCAAGGGTGCACCCACTGACTTATCCACTGAACGATTTCGTGGCTCAACTGGAAGCGCACTGAAGCTCAGTAATTAATTTATAAGAGCCCAAGCTTTATTAGCTTAGTTGCCCGCTGAGAAAGCCACACCTAAGTACCGCACCTAGCATTTGAAGCACAATTCGCCGAGGACTCGACCACGTCAGCGCACGATCCAAGGATAACAGTTAATTGCAATAGTGGATCATTTCCAGTCTATGAATAGCAGACTTGTTTGCACAGACAGCGCATTCCCTAACGACGGGTCATTTTCAACTTTACAAAGCAAGAAATCGCCAGATCTCGATCTCGTTCCCGTCCATTTTAGTACACTCGCAGATTGTAGGTACTGCACCTGAATACAGAACAACCCCACGATCCCTTCACCTAGGCAATTCCATGCTCAACAAGTGCCGGATCCTCCTTCGGGTCAAGGAAGAGCCCAGTTGACACTGTTACATCGCGTTGGCAATCTCTTGTTTTCTTTTCCCATCATTTAACCAGTATATACTTTCTCCCTCGTCTCGTCTCCATACAGCCCCATTTGCTTATTCGGTTATATCGTGTATAAGTACAATTCGTCGTTATATTGCAACGCGTCATCTTGCAGTACACATGTCATAACGACAAGTTCTGTTTCTTTCTGTTTCTGTGCCCAACACTAAAACTGTATTTTTTTTGTTTGCCCTCTCCACATTGAGCACGGTGAATTCTTCCAGTCAGCTGGGTTGAGCCCAATAGCTTGGTACGTTGGGATGAAAACTGAGGCTGTCAGATGGTCCCAACTGACTAACATAGTAGACTAAAACTAACAGACAAAGACCATAAATTAAGTCTAAGAACTAAAACTTCTTTGCATAACAACTTATAGATGCCAATGCTCAAGGCGGTTGTGAAGATCGTGATCTTGTTCATGGTCATGGTCATCATGGTGGTCGATGTGCTGAACCCTGCGGCCGTGAAGCTCAGCATGGCTAGAGTCAAAAGCACATTTCTACTTTGAGACACTCAGATAACCAAGTAGGTAGGTGAGAACAAGTTAAACTGTTTCTGTTCACACTTCCGCTGTATTCGAAACTTGGCAGGAAGTTGCAGGGTAATTCAGCCGTGGGCACTTATTTTCGTCTTCCACATCCCATCCCTTCTACATGCGTTCTATTGATCCTTCCATGACCCCGCCAGAGCCCGGTAAGGCCGTAGAGTGGCCAGGGTCTAAACATGCTAAGTCCGTTCCTGAAAGCACTGCTCAAATGGGAAATTAAACCACCACCTTTTGGGTGAGGGCATGAATCAGGCCTTGTCGTCTTTACTCAAAATGAACATCACAAACCAATTACGTCGACACATTTCCCCCGCAATGAACTCTCTTTTTATTTCTTTGCTACGTTACTCAGGTACCGTCGAAATATCCTTGACGCCTTGTTCAAATTGTTTTAACTTCTCATCGGCCACATCTATTTCCGTTCTCTCTCCGCGCTTCTGGAAATAGAACAGCAGAAACGTCGCTGAAGATGGGTCTGATCCCCTTAAAACATTAACGTATTAAACGTGACTCTCAAAGAAACGTGAACTTATGATCCTATCCCAGTCGTAGCCTTATCGTACTGAGCCATTTCCCACTCCCCTGTCCTAGGCATGCTCTTTAACTTTTTTCTTTGTGCGCGTTGCAAAGTCACTAGTCCTTGTTGATTCGCTTCCAAACTTCATGCTCAGCTGCAGCAAGACTGTCGCCGGCAGCCGAAGCCCACTTCTTGGCGGTCGACCAGACTCCCTCGCCCTCGTCTTCCCCTACCAATGATGGTCTGCGTTCCTGGGACACCGAAGCTTCGTGCGCAGCGCGCTGAGAACTGGTGAATTCGGATGCGTGCACGTTCTGGTGGTAGCCAGGTGGGTGAGAAAAGTCGCTACCGCCTGTTCCGCCCAGCACGGCCGTTGGGCCCAAGCCAGCCATCGGTGACGGGCCAGCCGCCGTTACCGTTGATGAACGAGGTGCGGTGAACTCCGATCCACTAGATATGGGAGCATAGGACATCTGAGGAGGCATTTGCGTAGGCTGCATCTGAGTATCACGTAGTGTCTCTCCAGTCTTGGGAGGCGGTGGGAGTTGAGATCCATTTGGCGGCACCGGGACTGCGCCGGGCTGCGGAGCTGGAGGGCTAGTGTTCATAGTAGTCCGAGTCGGCGTCGGCTGGGCGGGTGCGAAAGCCTGTGGTGCTCCGGTTGGAGCGGGCATGGACGGACGCGCTCCTGGCTGAGCTGCCGGGTAGGTGGAAGTAGGTGCTTCATTGCTTGCTGGTACATTGGAAGGCACTCCAGGGTCGCCTGATTCAGCTGTCTTGGGAGTGACACCATCGGGTTTTGCTGCCACGATGGGGCTCGAGGTATGAAGGGTAATGGGAGGCATATCAGTGGTATTTGGAGTTGGCCGTGCACAAGGAGTATGGTAAGTATTGAAGAATTTCGTACGTTTTGAGATTTTGTGATTGTCTTGTTTTGTTTAGTAAAGCTAAAGCTTACTCTTGAAAATTGGCTTTGGATGAATCAATGAAAAAGACGTTGTCTGAATAAGAAGCGTGGCGATGGCTGCCAACTACGTCATGTGATCTTGCTGGCTGCCTGTTGCACATTAGCACGCGGTTACTTGCAGTCAGCCAACGGGGAACTGTCGATCAGATTCCGTCAATAGCTCCATCTCCTTCAACTTGGTATTTCCAAATGCGGAATACGAGAATTAATTCTTGATCAAACGGTATGCTCATGATTCAGATGCAACGCACATTAGTGACGTAAGGAGTCAAGGTGTGACAGATACCCTGAAGCTCTACGTTGTTAGGGGTTTTACTAGCATACCTCCATGTAACACTTGAGTTTTGAACAGTTGACACACTTAATGTAGTATTTTGCTACGGCAGTAATGAGAAACTTGTGTGTGACTGTGTGTAAAGATCGGATGGGTGATTGAAACTACAAGGCAACACGAAATAAGCTCGTATTGAATGGAGTCAAACCCTGGAAGTTTATTACCAGCTTTGTGGTTGGATACACCGTATACAAACCGAGATCATTTATTCGGGTCAATATCAACCGTAATGAGTGCACAATACTGTTTGAATGTACTGGGTACATATATATTCGAGGGACGGGAGATATTTTAACATAAATTGCACTCACTTACATCAAATAACTCTAATAAGATTGTTTAGTATCACTGCATACTATGCTGAAATACCATCATATCGCTAGAAGTCTAAACCACGCAATATGCATCGACAAAATGCTTTCACCAGTCTCCCCTCGGTCAAACTTTACTCTTGAACCAGGCATACTACCTGTCTAAGCTCGTGCGGGCTTGTATGGACAGCCCGCAAACGCCTTTTGTTTCGCTTTCTCTTCAAAAGCATTGGTTTCCTCAATACCCTTGCCAACAACCTTTTCAGGACCAATATCCTCAAAGAGAAACCCTTCAGGCTTCATCTTTGCGCCACCATCACCAGGGAGTAGTCCACCAGAAAGCCGAGTAATGCAAGCCTCAAAGTTCCAGCGCTGCCAGAATGTAGCGGGCACGTAATAAGGCTCCTTCATGTAATGGCGAGTAGTGATGCGACCTGTCTGTTCGTCTGGTTGGGAGAGGAACTCTACACCGGAAGCACGAGGAAGACAGAAGAACCGGACAGCAATCTTCCGAACAAGCAAAAGACTGTAAGTCAGGACAGTGACGCCCAATCCTGGCTCCGGGAAGCTTTTCATATGTTAGTACACTCGAGTCAGTGAGCAAGGAAGGATGGAATAGACATACCCAAATGCTCGTCTCAACCTAGGTCCCATGATAACACAGGCTGCTGGATACCCGACAGGGGCAGCAAACTTGGGATACGAATCCAACAGCATATCCATCAAAACGTCGCCGAGCTTCTGAACCTCTTTCGTGGGGCGCAAGTACTTGTCCTCATAGTCCGATGCGAAACGTGTCACATCCTCCAAGAACTCAATGCCATCAGTCCACTCAGTCTTATTGAGGATAGTCTTGTAGTCGATATCCATCATATCAGCAACGTACTTCCACAGAGTGGAAATAGCAGCCACTTCCATGTCGGTAAGACTTCGCCACTCATACTGGTTGAGGAATCTAACGGGCTCGGCGAAGGAGGCGTAAAGTACGTAGAGGAGGTCCTCTTGCTTGATCTTGCCGGCTTTGATGTACGGTGCGTGCAGGAAGTTTGTACGCGCAATCGCCTTGCTAAGAGTTGGTGAATCAGGCGCAAAGTTTGCAAAGCTGGAGGTGTTAGTGATACCCTTGCAGTGATGAGTAGTAATTGAACTTACCAGAGATAGACGACTTCAGTGTCTGCATATCTGTAAATTGTATAAGTATGTAGTTGTATGAAATGGAATATGACAACTGTACCTCTTGGGGGCTTTCGCAGTAATAGCTAGATCGCTACCACCATAGAGAACATGTCCAACGTTTTGCACGGCATAAGTCTATTCGGCAGGTTAACATGGGACTTGCATAGCTTTGGTATTAGTTGTTGCTTGGGCATACCTCAAACAACGCTAACCGAGTGGCAAGATCGTAGAGAAGTGGAAACTCGAGGTTTGCCATAGTCTTGACAATTTCGAAGGCATCTTGGTTTGTCATTCGACTTAAAGAAGCACGATCGTGGAACCCATACTTGGAAAGAAGGGAGTTTATGCGGGAGAACCGAAGAAGAGAACAAAGAGCAACATATCCAAGGAAGAGGCCCAAGAGGACCGGACCAGAGATCGAAGTCGGTGAAATTCTGGTGAGCAAGTCTGATTGGAAACTTGTCGACGATGAGGCGTTCATGCCAGCAACGGACATATGGGCGTCCATATTGGCGTTGATAGCTCTATCAATGGTCTTCTGAATGAGGGGAAGACCACAAACGTGAAGCAGAATTGTCTACAGCAACGGAGTGGAATGTTACCGTATTTATGGAACACCCTTGTAAAGATAGCCGGACTACACGGCGTTCAACCCAAGTTGGGTATGTTTTAGACGTGACGCTAATAATACTGCTAGGATGATGACAAGACTCCACAAACCCTATCAAACGACAGGTGTTGGCAATTGTTGTTGTCGTACAAGAAATACTTGTGCTGTATTACGAGTGTGTTACAGTTGGTATGTAAGAGTTTGTTGCCAGCTGATAGCTTATATAAGCCGCCTCTTTTGACACTTGAAGCCTATCTTGACTTAGTAGATCTGTATGTATGCATGATTTGATTAATACCAAGGAGACTACTAAAGCACTCAGCATATTTGCCGTCCTTACACAAAGGTACGAATAAAAAGGGTATCGCTACAATTTACCTATCCAATAATGGCGATCCAAAATGACGGGGATAAGCATCCTCCCTCGGTAAGTCAAATAAACACAAGTTATAGTGTCCATGTTGTAATAACCTTCGGTCCTTGTAGGGCTTGAGCCTTTTCTTTCCTGAATAACACAATGGAAATTTATATTTGGTCTATTTAAGATTACTTCTTGACATAGTGTAATTTCAAGCTGAGCAGCTCATGAAAATATCTCCAAAAATGCATTATCAACACATGTATGTGTTGCCAGTGGGAGACATGGCTTGATCCTTGCACGGGTTATTAAAAGTCCGATGTCTCGCGCTAAGCCCAATTGACTGCCGCGATCAAGACAGTCAATGGATCAGATGCGCTCCTGGTGTTTTTGAGTTGAGCTTGAGCGCGCAGCAGAAGCTTCTTTACTTTCTCATCATCGATGTGAGCTTGCTCGGTCGCATCAACTCCGCATTATTAGAAAACACAAGACCAATCCACAAATATGGTTGGAAAAGTCAGCGAAAGGGTCCTCCTACGGGAAGGTATGGTTCATCATTACTTGTTTCTGAAGCAAATGGACTGTCGCTCATGACAGATTGCTAACAATATTATTCTAGGTCTCGAGAGGACTGACAATGGCATGAAGCTGACAACATGGCCGGATGTGACGCCAATTAATCAGAAAAACTACTATACGTACGGCTACCCCTTCTTACGCGCAAACGACCCCTGCTGATGCTGCGGTAGTGATTACATGAAGCGCGATGATCAGGTTCTTGCCCTTCGTCTCCAGAGTGATGCCACACGCGACCGACTAGTCCAGAACGCCCGCGATAGAGACCGTGTTTTGTCCAAGAGCGCCAATGGCGAACTGCCACTTCCCGTTGCAGATTTACCCGACGAAGATGGCGCCGCAACACCATCAGCTGGCATAGACCCCTCCAAGATCATTGTGATTCACCCTGGCAGTCAGAACCTTCGTATAGGCTTTGCGAGCGATGCGCTTCCCAAGACGATCCCTATGACCCTTGCGACAAAGTTTCCCCAGACCGAATCCGAGATGCACGAGGCTCTACCACGACGACAGTTCGAGGCTAAGACCGTCGACCAGCAATATGGAGAAGAGTGGTCAAAGAAGTACAATAAACAGTGCAATGACCTCAAGGTCGAGATGAGGGCCAACAAGCGCAAGGTTTTGCCTAATTCGAAAGAACTTGTCCAGACCTTCAACCGCCGCACAGAACCCGAGGTTATTCAAAAGCACAACGACCCGCTCGAGATTGAATGGACTGACATCGAATCACTCGAAGATCCCGACTCTTTGGCTTCATGCTTTATTGGCCACCAGGCTCAGCGTGTCCCTGACGACTCTAACCCCAAGTTCAAACTCTGGTGGCCGATTCAGCATGGACAGTGGAACGAAGACGGATACACAAGCCAAGAGCACATGTTTGATGACCTCGAAACTCTTCTCGACAAGGCATTGAGGCACGATCTTGGGTTGAAGAAGAATAGCGAGTGGCAGCAATACAGCTGTGTTTTCGTCATTCCCGATTTATACGACAAGAAATACGTTGAGCAAATCCTACGGTCTTGCATGACATGGTTTGAATTCTCTCGGGTGTGTTTCGTTCAGGAAGGAATGGCCGCTACCTTTGGTGCTGGATACACACAAGCCTGTGTTGTTGATGTTGGAGCTCAAAAGACATCCGTCACCTGTGTGGAAGACGGTCTCGTCATGGAAGACTCAAGAATCAACCTCAAATACGGAGGTTACGATATCACTGATACCTTCCTTAAGATGATGCTTTACGACAACTTCCCCTACCAGGACATGAACTTGCGACGACGATACGACTTCCTTCTCGCTGAAGAGCTCAAGATTAAACACTGCACCATGTCACAAGCGGACATTTCTGTGCAGCTCTACCAGTTCCACGTTCGCGCACCCAACGAACCGACACGAAAATACCAGTTCAAGACATATGACGAGGTTATCCTGGCGCCGATGGGAGTGTACGATCCCTCTATCTTTGACAACAGCGCCAAGTTGAAGGGACGACGCAAGCTGGTTGAACGATCTTACAATGCATACGATGTCGAGATCCCTGACGACCCTACCTCTGCGGCTCAACTGGCTATTCTTGCTCTCGTTCAACCATCGATAACATCAAACGTCAACGGATTTGCCCAGTCACAGCCCGATGTTTCAACGCCTATGAAAGAGAAGGGTCCTTTCTTGTTCGGAAAGGAGGGTGCTGCTAACGGAACTCCCATGGGTTCTCATGCTGGATCTCCTGCGCCAGAGGGCGCCACAACGCCAGCTCCTCCATTTATCTTTGGCGCAAAGGACAAAGACGGTGCCAACGGAGGCAGCCCAGCGCCCAATGGCTCTCATACCGGAGGAACCCCTGCTCCTGGAACAACGCAACCACCACCAGGCATGTTTGTTGACGCCGCTGCCCGCACCGCCAAATCTATTGCTGTTGAGCAGGATGCTGTCCTACCGGTTGCACCTCTCGATATCGCTATTCTCACAAGTATTCAGAACGCCGCTAAGAACGATGAGAAGAAGTTGAAGGATCTGCTTGGAAGTATTATGGTTATTGGTGGCGGTGCCAAGGTTCCTCACTTTACAGTCGTGCTAGAGGAGAAAATCAAGGCCCGACGACCTGACCTTAGTGACAGAATCCTTGTCAGTCGAAGCGCAAGAGACATGGACGAACAAGTAGTCACTTGGAAGGGAGCTAGCGTTTTCGCCAAGTTATCTACCAACGACTCATGGATCAGCCCCTTTGAGTTTGAGAGATTGGGTGCCAGGACTCTTCACCACAAGGTGCTTTGGGCATGGTAAAGCCACTGCAAGCAAACTGTTCGACATTAGACAGATCATAGGTTAATGGAGTTATGGCAAGGGAATGGAGTCTGGGTTCACTTGTGTTGTTTATGGATTAATAGAGCACGTAGCAAGTTTTGAAGGCAGCAATAGATACATTTGCTTGTTACTGATCTAGGACGAAAAGTCGATATAAACATTTGTTGATTGCTGTGAAATACAGTTGAAGAATAGTGGATGATGGTGTAACCAACTCCAACGCCGTTTGGTGATACAATATCTCATCTTGATAAGCACATCTTTACCGGCTACAAACTTGAATATTTCCAAGACATTTTCATTAACATCTTACGATTTGCTTCCCTCTGAGGGCGATATCGGGTGTAGACATGATGCATTCAGCTTATGTAATGGCTCCGTCATTTCTCAAAATGTTAGGCCCGACATCCGAGCTTCCTACAAGCTGGAGCTGGAGCTGGAGCTTGACATTAGTTCGCTTCCCCGGTTATTAGTGCTATTATTGTTTGACATTCACGCATCATCGCGCTTATTAGCACCACTACGTCAATATCCGATTCTCTCTTGCAATATGATGCACTCTTCTCTTGCCTGAACCATCTTTTATCTTATTGTATCGCTTCCATCGAATCGAGTCGAACCGAGACAATACAACACAACCCGTCCCCATCATGCTGTTACGATATCTTCCCTTTGCGCCGTCAACGACGCCTCTCCAGGCACTGACGTACCTCCTCGGCATATCGCTCTTCTCCATCTCGTTCCTCGTCTTTCTCAATAGCTCCATTTCCTTTGTTATTACCGACTTGATTGGGCAGAAGGAAGGCGTTGGTGATGTTGTAGGAACGCTCGGCTTTGCGGATGAACTGGTTGCACTTGTTGCTTGTCCCGGATGGGGTCTTGTGTCGGATCGTCTGGGTGTAAGATGGGTTGCTGTTATCGGATACGCGATAATCGGGCTTTCGTTGGTTCTGTTTGTCCAGGCGACGAATGTGTATCCCCAATTGTTGTTGGCTCGTGTGTTATTTGCCGTCGGCGCATCCGCAGCGTAAGTCAGACGCATCCAAGAGTCATGGACGAGCCGTGCTAACTACGTGAAAGGGCTACTATGGTAACTGCGATTTTACCATCTTTGACCGACGATAGTAACAGTGAAGAGGATGAGGCCCGAGCTAGAATCAAGGCGCTTCAAAATGCGACTGCTCGAAGCAGCATCGCCTTTTCTGTCGAGTCCGAGGCGACTATTACACAGGAGCGATACACACAGTCGGTTTCTGAACGGAGTATGTCAGACTCGGCAGACTCAGCGGCTGGACGACCATCAAAGCTGGCGGGATTTGTCGGATTATTTACTGGATGCGGTGCTCTTGTTGCATTGACTCTTTTCCTCCCACTCCCTGCCAAATTTGGCGAGGATGATCATACAACACCTGCCGAAGCCGTGTCTTATAGTTTCTATGTAGTCGCTGTTGTCGCACTGGTTGTGTCTTTGTTTGTAGCAATCGGGCTGCGAAACATCAAGGGTGAAGAAGGCAAGGGTTTTAGGGTTCTCTTTGGGCTTAAAGATGAGAACGAATCGACTAGATCAGACGGAAATGGTCACCAACGGGTAAGTCGAGCATACTTAAATATTGTACACTGTTACTAACGTGGTACAGAAACTGGCACCTTATCTACATCTTATGAAGGATTCAGTCTTCCTTGGCTTTGTCGATTCTCGAATCGGTCTCGGATATGTTGGTGGCTTTGTCGCTAGAGCTTCGAGCGTTGCCATTTCACTTTTCATCCCTCTCTTTGTCAACACATATTACATTAGCAACGGTTTCTGCAAAGGCTCACCTCACGACTCTTCGCCTGAGCTCAAGGAGGAGTGCAAAACCGCTTACATTCTCTCGTCCATCTTGACTGGTGTTGCGCAGTTCATGGGTCTTATCTGCGCGCCTATCTTCGGATATCTCGCCAGCCGAACTGGCCGCATCAACTACCCCATCGTCGTCTCAACTGTTTTTGGTATCGTAGGCTACACTGCCCTACCACAACTTGCCAGCCCTGAGATCAAGAACATAGACGGTCGCGGTGGCAGCCCCATAATCTTCTTAGTTGTCTCGCTCCTCGGTATCAGTCAGATTGGTGCCATTGTCTGCAGTCTTGGATCTCTCGGTCGCGGCGTTCTCGCGGTTGAACTACCTCGCACGACGCGTCCTGAAAGCATTCTGCAGCCCGAGGACTACGAATCTGCCAACGATGAGAGCAGGCCTCTTATCAGCATCACAACAGACAAAGAGTCCGTCTCTCGTATTCGTCTCAAGGGCTCCATCGCTGGTGTTTACTCACTATACGGTGGATTTGCTATCCTACTGCTGACGAAGTTGGGAGGATATTTGTTCGATACGCTGTCCAACGGTGCGCCTTTCTACATGATGGCCATTTTCAATGCTGTGTTGCTTGCCTTTTCTCTTGGTATGGATGCCTCGCGCACGTTCTCGCATCAGGCGTGAGATATTTTTTAGTTAGTGTGTACTATTGTGACTGTAAGAAGTAATAAAAAGCGATTTCGTTCTTTCTAATCTGATATCCCGAGCGAGTCATGTACATACAGTTGATTGAACCCGTTACTCATGTATCATATAGCTTAGGTACATTGGAACGAATAGGTAGTTTGTCCCAAATTACAGTGTTAATTCTTATTCATTTTGTAGAATTCGTGTCCTTTGGAAAATGGCTGTCATGGATCATCACTTTGGATATCATGAACTTCTACCATAACTCTCTAGCCAGTATAATCGTATCACTTACCATTTATAGAAGAAATATTTATGGGGTGTTCAACGTTTCCATTGGTAATCTAAGCTGTGGTCTACGATACTCAGTTTAGCGGAGTTGTCCAAAACGTTTACTCACCTCAACAGGTTCTCAGTCCGCAGACCCAATGCCCCCCAGCGTAGTCATCAAAGTCATGCGGGTCATCACGTTTGTCCGTGTTGCCAACAAATTCAGAGACTTCCTTGTCTCTCTTGTCCTCCTCCTTCTTCCTCTCTCGAGGGAGAAGAAGCTTGACCTCCCTGAAGGCGTCCTTTACTTTCTGGACCCGGTCCTTGATGGAGTTTTTGAGGTGGCCTTTCACATTGCTTGTGATGACGTTTCTGAGCTCGCGGCCGTCTTTAAAAACATAGACGGGCTGCTCTCCGTGGAATTGATCCATTGCGACTGAGTGTGGTGGGAAGAAAATCTGAAGGTAGGTAGGGTGCTAATTGTAGCAGGGTTGTTTTAGAAAGGTGATTTCTGGTGGTGATTGAGCTTTCTGAGTTGCTTCGGTGTGCTTCTTTGCTCAGAGCGAAGAGTGTGTGATGATGAAGGAGGGAAAAGGGGTAAGTCGGGCAGCTATATATACTCCCAGAAATCGCTTCCTCGCTTAAATTCATGTTCAGAAGTGTTGCTTAGATGTTAATTATTCGTTCTTTATTCGCTATTTTGCACTGCCCCGGCAGAAATATGTTATTGGAAAGATACGGTTGAGAAAAGGGGTCACTCAGCTGGAGGTCTCGTCAGCAGACCCGGGCATCAGGGACCTTGGAGAGCTCTCATTTGATCTTATTTAAATGTCGAGAAGCTCAAATTCACTCTCTTGGCGCTAAATTAAGCGTATGTGGTCTCGGGCGAGTGTATAATGTAATCAAGTCAACTTGACATAACTCGCTACAGGATTCCTCCCTGTAATCCACGACCACGAACGCCAAGCACGAACCTAAGACAACAACAATTGTTCGAAGTGCTCTCTGAAAGGTTCTGAAGAGCATTATAGTCACGACAAAGCCACGTCTTGTTGTGGTTCTTCGAAAGGAAGTTATCGCTGAAAGGGCGATTTCAGGGGTTGTACTTCAACCACATATACAGACACAACACAGAGTATTTTGAGCTTCAAATTACTCTCGTGATATCACAGAATCTACGGTTGTGTTTTCTGTTGATCTAGAAAGTTCATACGGTTCAGAATGTCCCAGTTACAGAATCCCGGAGGAGGTACTGGGCATGTCGCATATCACATTTACCAGACACTCTTTGGCGTTTCCGATTCAATAAAGAGCAAGTGAATAACTAGGATAAAGAACGATGCAAGTTAACGCAGGGTTCTTTCTGGAAATCCATTAGCGTTAAACGGGTGAGTGACATTTGGAAGGGGTCGGCGGACGAGATGGGATATTAACATCCACATACCTACAGCAATAGCAATACATGTTTATATATGTTGCCACAGGAGTGACGGATCATAAATTGGTATGTATCCAGTGTTGGAGAGATCGGATGAGATGCAAGGTAGGAAAAGGCTGATTTCTACCATCAAAGTTCATCTTCATATAACATCACTACACAGGACGACAAATTTAAAAGAGCATTTCAATTGAATTTTGTACGGAAACCTTTGAGAAGACCTAGAGGACAGAAATACTTCTGAGTGCAACCGAGCTAGTGAGAACAGAGCTCAAATCCTCTCTATATCACGCAGCACTTTCCCTGAGAGGGACATATGATTGATATGTCCGACACAGGGGGAAAACCAATGGTCAACTAATTTTTTTCATTTCAACCTGTCGAAAACAACGAATATGGCATCTTCCCCCCTTCTTATATCGTGACGAGTAAAAAAAGGAAAAAGGGGAGGCGTTTGGACATTCAGCGTTGACCCCGCGAGTGCATGGTGTAGCAGGCAAGGGGATTTATGGGCGCGCTCTGGTGAGAGACGGGCAGGCGTTGGGCAATCTAGTTGCCGCCGAGGCTGGGGAAAGCAGACTGGTCGTTGGTGTTGATAGCAGCGTTGCCCTTAGCAGCTCCCTGAGGAGCACCGCCACGGCCGCCGCGGTTACCTCCACGGCCACGGTCTCCACCACGGTCTCCACCACGACCACCTCGGCCGCCACGGCCTCCGCGAGCACCACCACGGGTGCGCTCGGGCTCGACGAAACGGGGGTCGAAGTCGACGGTCTGCTTGACCTTGCGCTCTCGCTGACGCTGGGCCTTGCCTCCAGTGGCGGCAAAGTACTCCTCCTCCTCGTTCTCGAGGGGCTTGGCGTCGGCCCACTTCTTGTCGAGCTTGCTGCCCTCGTTGGCCTCACGGACCTTGAGGCCAGACTCGAGAGCGGCCTTCTTCTCAGCCTGCTGGGTGAGGTATTCTTCGTAGGAGACCTGCTTCTCGGCCTCCTCCTCGGCGGCGGCCTCAGCGGCAGCAGCCTCCTCAGCAGCGGCGTCCTTCTGCTCGTCCTTAGCGATAGCTTCGCCGGCCTGCTCGTCCTTAAGCTCAGCCTGGCCTTCGGTAGCACCCCAGGACTGGGCAGCCTGCTTCTCGGAGCCACTAGATTTCAGTCAGCACATGGAAATACATGATCAGGTTGGTAGTGAAGCATACCCGTGTCCACCGAACTTAGAGGTGTGTCGGTCATCGCGCTCGTGGGCGCGTCTAGCGCCACGTCCACCACGGCTACGGGCACCAGCACCGCCTCGGGGGCCATCACGGGGAGTCTCCTCAGTGGATCGGTTCTGGTTGCGTCGGCTACCAGCACCACGGTCCTGGAAAGCTACTTAAGAGTTAGCATTTGGATGTTGAACGGGATCCAAAATCTAAAACTCACCACCCTCGTTACCACCGGGGCCACGGCGGTTTCCTCCAGCACCAGCGGCCTTAACGGGAGCTAGGGGCTCGACATTGCGCTTAGTAGTGCGAGCATTGTTCTTGTCAACGGTCTTGACAGGAACGACGGGCTTCTCCTCGCCGTCACTGTCGTTGCCTGTACAGTAGTCGCTAAGTCAGCACGAGTAATCGTAGATTGAGTTTTGAGTTGGGCAGCATTCGGAAAGTCGATCAAGCTAGGTTGATTTTTTCTGTGCTTTTTCTCGTGGGGAAAGCGGGGATGTGAGGAATCGTACCGAGGTAGGCAAAAGGGTTCTGGTGAGAAAGTTAGCATTTCTGTATACGCAGTTGACGGTGGTAGCGTTGTGTTTGTTTGTCTCATGTCGTAGTAGGTTAGGGCAAACAACCTGATGAACGATGACGAGTAACAGGAATGATGTGAGGGGCTGGGCTGGGCTTGTGATCGCGGACGAGAGGGTAGAGGCCGAGCAGAGTAAAGTGACGGCAGCGTATAGAGGTTGGGAGGATAATGCGATCGCTGAAGCCGTCAAGAGCGAGTGTCTCAATAGAGTCGACTCTGATTAATGGCGTTGTGAAGCAAAATTCCCATTCCCATTCCCAACTCTGCGCATCCAATCCGCCTGCTCACAGGGGACTCGACTCTGCTACAGCGCAGAGGCAGAGGCAATCAATCGATGGCAAGCAGACAAGCCAAGTGAAGCTCTAGACAGTTGATAAAGTGTTTTCCGTACCTTTGTGACAACCGACATCTTTGGTCGTCGCCTTGGGCTAATCGCCTTCCGTCCGGGGCGTTAATATAAATTGAGGGCGACGAAGAGTGGTCTACGGTCGCATGACCTTGTAAGAGGGAGAGCTTTGGGTGGTTTTTCTAAACTGGCCTGGTAGGAGGGGGGAGAGGGAGGGCAGAGCAGATTGGAAAGGTAAATTGGTTACGTTAGGTTAGGTCCCAGAGTGGAGGAGGTACAGCGAGTTTTTTTGATTTGGTGTGACTTGAGACCTAACTTTTGCCCACCCATTAATATGTAATCAGGAAGCTGCCAACTATTGGTTTATTTTCAAACTGTTTTAGGTATACATGATGCAGATACCTGTTTGTTGTTGTTTACTCTACTCTTAAATCCCGTTTTATTACTGTTACTGTTGATATATCGTATTTTCTCACCAGACTCTATTGCTTGATCTCACTGTCGATGTACCCATACTGCCCACCAACTGGTATTAGTTACTGCATGTGGGAACAGTAGAGGAAACTCTGACGCAGCCAAAACAAAAAAAAAACACTAGAATTGGATCCCTGGTCCTCGCTTAAAACCACATCTTATGCAGTACAAGTCGTGTACATTTACAAGAAAAATTGTTTTTTGTGAGTGGGATTAGATCGTTAGTTAGGGCATGGAAATGAGGATCCCAGCCAAGAAGAAGAGGAGAGAACTAGACCTAAACTAGTAGCGCAGAGAGAATGACCCCGCGGTTACGTCGAGAGAGCTCTGACGAAATGACAAAACAGCTCAAGAGCTGCATCAGATGGTAATAGACAAGAGTTTCCAGCCATTGATTTTACCAGTCAAGTATCGTGTCAAACTCAAAATCAGGATATAACAAACGTTCCTTCGTTGACGAGAGTTCAATGCTTCACCGTATCCCGTCTCTCTCTCAACTTTACCTGCCATCCATTTAATCCTACCCCGCCAGAGCTTAGCTAGGGCTTGTTCCTCCAACGTCACCAACTGTCCCGCTTGTTTGACCTGAATCAATATACTTCCATCAGTCAAACAGTAATATACGCGTTTTGATGGAGTTAAATGTTCAAAATAACATCTAAATACGAAGCTCAATTGCATTCCATGACTCTTGACAAGCTCTAATGTTGCTTGGTTCTCTCAGTGGAATGATCAGACCTCGCTTGACCCCGTGCCTCGGCCGTCCGTTTCCGGTACCGAACCGATGTGCATGCTCTCATAGCTACGTACCCCTCAGGCGCTGTCCTGATGATCATGATGATGGTTTCGACCTTCTCATTGGCTTACCCAAACTACTTTATACGATCGATCGTATAGGCCCTTCACAACAGTAAACCTAAATTTGAAGCCATCACACAACAACGCCGGTTCGTCCGTCTAATAGACATAGGTAGCCTGTGTAGGAAATAGTCCGCATCGTTAATGATATACTGACATGCAACACCCATCTATCGTCCCATAAAGAACCGTCTCAGCTCAGAACCGACCGTGCCCCAATCATTATTACCCTCGGATTGCTCAGACCTTGTCCTTGCAAGACCTTCCTCACTCAAGCTCGCTGCCACTCTCCTTAACCTTCGTACCTCGGGATTATGTGCTGGTATTGCCATCATAGGCTGGTAACGATCCAGATATTCTGACGATTGTGGTGCAGTATTCGCAGTCCGTTGCGAATGCGATGTGAGCTGCGAGGGTAAGGGTCTAGCCGTTCTGACGGTGGACAAAGGAAGTGGGTAAGGCGTCCGCAATACCTGATCGGGGTACTCAGGGGGTGTTCGATATGTTGAAGTGTTGGCTTCCGAACGGTTGAGGTCTGAGTGACGGGAAGGGGCAAGCCTAGATGAAGGCCGTTTCAGAGGCTCCTCTCTAACCCAGCTAACAGCTTGTCTGTGCCGTACTTCAGAAAGTTCTTCATCTTTGGTGTAATTCTTTAGAGCTTCAGGAGACGATGGCCTGTCCCCATATTCACGAGGTGGCATCGGGGATCGAGAAGCATCAAGTACAGATGGAGATGGTGACCGTTGACGCATGCTTTGATGATTCGATATCGTGCTTTCTTCAGGGGATCTGGGGTAGGCTGATCCGGGAGCCGAACGAGGCTTTCTCAGGTGTGGAGGAGCTTGAAGATGTGTGTCGATAGTAGTTACTCTGCGATGCGGTTCGCGAATGGGACTTGCGGGTCGTTGCATGAATAGAGGTATTGGCTTCAAGGGGCTCGGTTTGAAGGAAGGTCCGTTAATAGGATCAAAGATGTCGACCCAAATGACAGACTTCGAAGTATCTCTGAAATTGCTCGAAGAGTTGCTGGATGTGCCTTCATCCCCTGTTACCCCATCTCCAGTGCGGTAAATTGGCGGTTGCCACGCGGAAGCAGACTGTATATGTCAGTACACTGAATACAATGGCAGTTCACCCTTACCTTTAAGCTCCTCTCATTGTTGTTAGCCTCCCATCTCTTCCTCGTCAGTCCGCCATCCACCTTCTCAACCCGTCGTAGGCCTCTGTTGATTACTGTGATCTCCTCTGTAACCCCATCGACTTCGACCACATAGGCCGCGCAGAGCGGTACTTTGTCCACTTCTTTCCCTCCACATCCATCCCTTTCACTCTCTTCCTCGTCCCGGAAGAGGTCCTGTATCGGCACACCCTGGTAAATAGCTCTGCTTCCATATAGCAAGCATCCGTAGCACGCCCGATGCCAGAAACACCAACCAAAGCTGACGCACTCATCGCCTCGGAAACAAGTTCGCCGCAGACCCAGCAGATGGCGAGTTTGAGAATCGCGGCGTGGCAGGTTGTACATGCGAGGCGTGCGGAGCGTCCGATGATCTGAGGAGGGCCTTAGGAAACATGGAAGCAGAACGTACAGGCGAAAATGTTTGTATGGTTAGGAATTGACATATTTTAGACATAAATAAAAGGGGTTTTGTTTGGGTATCATGTCAAGGGTACAAAGGAGTGTAAGTAGCAAACAGTCTGATCAATACCAGCTTCAGCGTTAACTATTCTTTGAGTGGAACACAAGCATTTAGAGACGTATTTTAGGTAGACAAGGTAAGAGGGAATAATCATTAACAAGCGAGGGGTTGTTGTTGTAGAGACATGGCAAGTACAACTGATGTCCGGGAGGGAAAGTGCAGTCTTTGGTCAAGAGGGCACATAATCACTCTCATCTTCATCAAACAGCAGAACACGACAAGTGTCTAGACATGAAAATGTGCCTATATTTATAAACCATACAAACAACTACAAATGTAAGATGAACTGTCCTCATCTGAATTTTGGTTCTCATAACATGATATGTATTGCCTTGACGCCACCCCTTAACCCCCCAACCGTGACTTGACCCAAATGCGTTGTCTTCTGCGACAACAGCATGCCAGGAACTTTGTAATCCCGTAAAAGAAAAAAGCCAGGTAAAAAAACAATCTCGAGACTCCAGCTTAATCAAAGCGTATTTCGTCATTCGCTTCTTGTGTCCAACTCTGGGAAACTTGCCAGCAGATTTGGGTGACCAATATGTTGATAGTCAGAACCACAAAGCAGGCCAATCTCCAGAATGCGACAGACACGCAAAGGTCGTATTATGCATTCAATGTGTAAAGAGAGTAGAGCCAGGGTATTAAAGCTCAAACTCTCGTAGTACACCGTTCAATCGTTTCGGGAATTTATGCCCGGTTCTTGGGTCGAGCAAGCATGTTCAGTCGGCTCAAACTGAGAACTGAACGCTTCTTGACAGGACTAGCGGTGGCAGGGGTACGCGTAATCGCACCGGTCCTCGCCTTCTTTGCACTAGGGGTACCGCCAACAAGTCGTGGAGCAAGAAGGGCCTCGCCTTCGGGAACATGTTCAGCCTTGCGCTTCTTGTTAGAACGCTCGGCTTGCTTCTCCTCGGCTTCCTCCTCGGACCAGCTGGTCCTGTGACGCTTCTTGTTGGACATGCCGTGAGGTGCTCCAAAGATAATCTTTTCAGAATCAGGCAGCTTGTTCTCCTTGTTGGGGCCGACAGGAGATGTAGGACCAGGGAAGCTACCGGGCATCTTTGCATCGGGCTTGAGCGACTGTCGTACTTGACGGACGCTAGACTGGCCGGGGGAACCTCCAAAACCCAGGACAGGAGCATCTCCAAACTCAATAGTATGATCACTGCGGAACGTGAATTTACCAGGGACAGATGCAGGCGCCACAGGTAGAGCTTCCTTTTCCTTGACAACAGGGAGCTCCGGAAGAGGTCTAAACCCACTGAGATCAGGATACACAACGTCTCCTGAATCTGCCTTTGCAAGTGCTTCATCGATACCCTGGAACGGTTCGTCCTCCAAGCTTCGTGTCGGTTGAGCCTTGAGGCAAGACTTCAAAGGAGAAGGTGAGTTTTGCTGAAAAACGATACGAGTGGCCTCTGGGGTGAAAGCAACATGCTTTGTTACCTTTCGTCGAGGAGTAGTCAACGGAACAGGAGGTAAAGCTTTGTCTTTTTCAGCCCTGGGAGGGGCGGGTGTTTGAGAAATCTTGGGCTGCGGAATAGCAGTCTGGACATTGCCGGAAGGTGTTCGGTGTCCTCGCAAGATTGACTTGACTTTATCAAGGCGTCCTGAGCTAAGAACACGAGCTCTAGGTGTGGCTGCTTCGCTGGGTGCAAGCAGACCTGGGGTGCTTGTGGATTTTGACAGGCCGCTCTTCAGATCAACTTTTGAAGGGGATTTGATCAGAGAAATGGTTGGTTTGCCCGAGTGCGCAAGAGAAGCCTTTGTGGGGCTCATGAGTCGTGAGAAGTTGGGTTTCGAGGCAGGCAGCTTTGTTGAGCCATTTCCGCTGGACTTTGGTCGAGGAATCGAGGAGTCATCACGTGAGACAGGCCGGTTTGTTGACGCGTCGTCATCCTCTCGCTGCTTGAATCTCTTCGAAGTAACGCGCTCGCGCTCATGTGCGTTGGGGGCCAACAATGGCTTCTTCGTGGATGGAGGGAGAGCCATTGGAATACCTGAAGGAGGCATGGTGGCCTTCTTTGGAGAAGGTGATTGTTGATACTCTTCAAGGTTGGCTCGAGAAGACTTGCGTTTGAGACTTTGAGTGACGCGAGGCGTCGAAGGAGTAGGAACTGCCGGCTCTTTTGAGGGTGAATCCTTCAGACCTGACTTGTTAGGAGATGAGGTCGGTGTTGTTTCCAGATTAGCCTTGGAGGGTTTTCGCTTAAGAGGCTGGACAACAGGCTGGAATCGTCCATTCTGAGCTCTCCAGGCAGAAGGATGGTTCTCAATAGAATCCATCTTCTTAAACTCGGCCATGTGCGCCGCGCTGTAGCGACTTGTCTTGCCTGTAGGTTTAGCAATCTTGCGACTTTCCACCTCAGAATCCGCGTCGCGCTGAGCGATGAGATCTACCTTAATCTTGGCAGCCTGCTGTCGAAGTTCCACCATCATTCGCTGCGCATCACTACTAAGGCTAGTATCGGTGGTGTCGCGCGCGACTCGGAACGTGAAATCGGATGCAGGTACCCCTATCTTTGATGGCGTGTCGGGTTCGTTGCTGTCCTTGATATCTGTAAAGCCCAATCTCATGGCAGATGAGGGCTCGCCCATGGTCTGGTGGGCTTTGCTTGGGTGCATTTCGTCATGAGGAGGTTTCATCGCTGATGAAGCTGGTGTTGAAGGTACAGGGGCCGGCGAAGATGGAACAGCATTGCTCCTGTTTTTGCTTCTGCTCTTCTTCGCAGACCTGGGTTCTGGGAGTCGTTGAGGTGATTCGGCATCTTCAGTGACGGCCTCCAAGGTAGGTGCAACAGGTCTGGTCTGAAAGTATGTCAGTTAGATGGGCTGTCCCCAAGATGAAAAACAGGTGATGCTATCGCGAGGCTTACCTTGGTAGAGGACGCCAGCCGGGCCGACCTACGGCGCGGAGGTGACATGGTATCTAGTAATGTATTTGATCAAGACTTGACCAAGTTATGCAAGCTTTGAGCAATTAATTTCAACAATTAAGGGTTGCGATCCTCGTCAGTTGATGTCTCTGGTATGATGTCAAATCCTGCGATGGCGCGTGAATCTGGACGTTGTTACTGGTGGGGCTATTTGGTTTGTTTACATGGTCCGAGCTCCATAACAACCAGAGTGCGCCTGTACTGTGTATGGGACAGTGTATGTGATCAAACACTGTACAGCGTCATTGGTTACCCTGTGGCATCAAGTCAGTATTGAAGTTATTCCCATCTTCTACATTCATCCTGTGATGGTATTTGTGATGAGTTTCACACTTCATATCATTCGGGTATTTTTATCGTTTCTCTTGCAAGGTTCAGAACTCACACTGGCCACGTTTAGTTGAATAAGATTGCAAGCCTATCTTTAAATAAAGTACTGGCACTTAACTTTCAACCCGTCTTACACATGCAATTCAGATGGCTGCAAAGTTTCAACATGGAAATTGACTACTAAACATTAAGCTGAACCTCAAACCAAAAAACCGAGATTACACGTCATTTAACCAAGGACCCGACAAAGTACTGCAACAATCGAAAGGTTTCCTGACAAAAGTCCTTCATCACTCACGCACTCATTCACAAAGAAGTGATCTGATTATGCATCCGAAAATTCCAGCATCACCCGTAAAATAGCCTCGGCTACTTGCACGATATGATCGACGTGAGATCGAGGCTTATCGATTCAATCATGCCACAAATACACCGATCCATGATATGAGGTTCTTTTGAGATTCTGACATGACATCCCAAGACACGCTAGAAAATTTCCAGAACCAACTACCCATGTCTCTTCGAAATAACCTCCGCACCTACTACTGTTGGCACCATTGCTCAACCACTTATTTCTGGCGTTACAAGCTGCACAAGCCGCAAGCCTAGTTAACCCAAAGATAGTCAGCTGAGGTGAGAGGATTTTTCATCCCTCTCGGTGAAGGAGGTGACCGAGACTTTCGGCAGATTCAACCGATGTTAGTGTGGCTTGGCTACGGTGATTGTCAAGGGCATGAGATCATGTTAACACGACGACACAAGTTCATCCTACAAGGATTCATTGGAAGACCCCGGTTCTCACGTAGCCGTCTTACCATCGTGACGATGATCAGCCTTCTAACGAAACATGTCTTCCTTCAAGAAAAAGACAATGATTGACCAGAGCTAGTAATCAAACGTCACAAATACGACCCTCAAGTTGTTCATCAAGGGCGGAAGCTAAGGCCCAACAAAGTTACAACAGGAGACCACCGCTGTTCGGGAAATGCAGGTCAAGCGGGTTCGCTAGGCCAAGCGAGACGAACCGTCTTCCTTCGACCTTACTTGGCAGATCCTCGCTCGTTGGTTGCAATATAGCAGGGATGCAATTCTGTGTGCCTGGCCCATCAGAAACGATAGGGCGCAGTTGACAAAATGATGCACGGTTGTAATCTCAATCATGTTCGACATACCTGAGCTTATGCTCGTCTCATTGTCTTACACATGTGCGTGGGTTGTCCAAGTACCAGTGTCATCGAAGAACAGACACAGAGGCCCAAGAGCACTGCAGATTCCAGCAACCAAAGCCTGAGCCTCCCGATTCAAAACAAGATCATCTCAATCATATTTCCATCAACTGTCACGATAATCCCGCAAAATGGGGGAGATCTGGGGTAATAGCAGCAACCACAATCTTTGACTTTCTGAATCCACCGCCAGAGCTAGTCTGACATTCATAATGACCTACCCCAAAAGAGGATATCCAGACTGGAGACCAAGGGGGTCCCCTAGATCTGTAGCTCCGATCAAACAAGCTATGCATGCATGTACCAATACATGAGCAGGAAATGAACCATGAGCAGAGTTTTCAAAGCATGTTTCTGGAACAGCACATGGAAGCCAATACTTCTCATCATGTGAGACTCCACCGTTGCACGGCTGGGGGCTATCATATGCAGGTTTGATCCTAAGGAGACAACAGGCTGGGATCGTTGTCCATGGTTGCGACTCATGACACCTTGAAAGAATGATTGTGATGCATCATCGTTGTAGCACGTATCCTAGAAGTGAACTATTATTGTTTAGAAATGTTGAGATGCAGTCTTTTGTTGTGGTGGCATCATCGTTTACGACGCCGTTGCTGAAACCGTTGCACATCTGTAAAGGTTGGGAAGAATAAAGTTTTCGCTCGTTTAATTACCACCGGCAATTGTGAAGGATGATCAACGGCAGTGATACATTCAAAACTAGGAGTTTCATGAAAGTCAACCTGGCCGATCAAATTTGTGCTAGGGTTTAATGCTAGAATGTTGCAATATCCCGTCATTCTTTCACACTGAGGGAATGAGCATAGGTGGTGTGTTCTATCAGACTGACATGCAACTTTTGGGATATCTGATTGATATCAGAGGCCGTCTCGCTTATCTGACAGAAAATGTTTACTCGGCACAGCCGTATCTTGGACAGTACATATATATTATGATGCTGGATATGAGACGAGTCCCAGAAATCCGTGACACATTAATTCTTTCATTTGCACAGAGACAAGTTGTTTGGTCACATGTTCTTCAAACAGTAACAGTAAGACAACCCGGCATAGTTGCACAAATATTCGTACTGCGTTTTATGAGCGTCGTGTTGTAAGAGCACATGATGTTGTCAGGGATGAGATCAAGCCTGGGATGATCCTCTGGACCGGAGGTTTCGGAGGACTGTGAAAACAAGGATCAAGATGTCTTGATTCTACAAGCGCTAAGCAAAAAACGTTCACTATTGGACATTCACATGTATTGACTGCTCCACCAGATGTTTGGTGGTCTGGTGTCGTAAGCCAGACTTCATCATGGGAAGCCTGCCAACCGGACTCTACGGAATTATGTGTGATGAAGCCAGCGGCGTCACAGATGTGTGAACAATCTGTAACAGGTGATCACAAAAGCTGAAGACAACAGCAGCCTCAAAGTCCTGCATCGACCAAGAGACTTGACAACCAGCGAGGTCGGGGTGAATAGTGGGACTCAATGACAGACCCTTGTCGTTGGCCCTCGCATGGGTCGTTCTCTGAGTTTTCTAGAACTGCCAGGCTGCCAGGGTGAGAGCCAAAACAATCGGTGTAATTAAGCATGAAAGGATGATCAACCGCGGAATGACGAAGCCAAGTGCTGGAACGCACCATGAGACGTTACGGTAAGCTCTAAATTCAGACTTCGCCGATTTTACCGGCAAGTCAACTTTGAGAGATTGCGGCAAAGCGTTGAAAATTTGCACAGACGTTGTGATTGGCGAAAGAGTGGGATGTGAGCATCGAGGGTTGTCCGTCAAAGTTGGTATTAGACGAGCAACGCTTTCTGGCGTATGCCTACGCCACCAAGGCGCACCGGGCACTGTTCAACCACCACCAAACCGCCCTTGTTGTTGTCTCTGGTCGATGACTGAAGTAGGTATTTCCGGTAAGACTGGGAGAGGGGAGCGAAAGCGGGGGCTCCGATGTTACAGCTGCCGATCAGTTCAACCAACAGAAAGAGAGTGGGAGTGGCCCGGCGGCTGAATGAAGAAGTATTTTCAGCCGACGGCCACGCGACAAGAAGCTCTGTGCTTTTTGCAGATAGTGGCAGAGGTCTGTGATTTTGTAAGTTTATCAGAAGATCTTGAGCATCAACAAAGTCATGGATTGCTTATCAGTTGAATCTGCTCTGGAATCCCACTGTCTCAGTCAGATCTGCTCAGCTGGAGTGTGATGAGCGGATGGATGGGATAGAAAAGAGGCTAGTTCCAAGGTTGGGGTGGGATGGTGAAAATGCCAGACCAGGATATGCATGCATGGCTGCAGATTGTTTAGTGAGTGAGCGAGTGGGTTAGTCCCCCTACATGACAGACAGCCAAACAATGCTTGCACTGTCTGATTGATTGATCGATTATCGGTTCGTTTTAATATCCCTCATGTTTAATCTGGAGGATTAAAAAGAAATCATTCAGGGCCCGTGCATTCGTTCGATGCCAAACGATGAAGAATTAAGGTCAAATATGGAGGAGTCCGGTGGTGGACTGGTTTTTTTTAGTGGGTGGTACCGCTGTCTCCTGTGCTCCACTGCCCGTATGATATCCACTCTGGGTCCTTATACGAGATTTTAATTGGCTCAAGGGTTTGGGCCCTCGAGTCTTTGCAGAAAAGAAGGAGCGTCCTGGGCAGCCCCCTCCTACCAATTTACATTACATAAAACCGTATTCCCTTGCGGCGTGAGTGATCCCCTTCTCTGTTATCGCAACCGTCCCCCCCAAGAAATCGACGCGAATTACAGCCCGTCTTTTATCTCTTCGTAGAATTTCTTACGTTTGTTTTGCAAAAGACCCTGCGACATTGATAGGATAGGCGCTTGTTAGACGCGTATCAGTATCAGTTATCCTTTCACATCGCAGCACATCCATACTATCTTTGATAGCCAAGCGTTGTCTCTGGCTCTTCTCAGCAGTACTCTTGGTGCTGACCCCCGTACGACCCCCAATCCGGGCTGCATTTGCTATCTCTTGCGCCCGCTGCCACTACGCCCGCAACCGCAAACCAAAAACCCAACGGGCGCACACTTGCCTGTCTTGATTCTTTACGCCCGTCGACTCGACGTTCCACCCGTCTTCGTCACGTAACAGAATTTCCGTTTTGCGTCTCTGGGGCGTTTGCCGCTGCGCGGCAAATCGTCTAGTAGCCCAGTCTGGGTAATGGCAGACAAGATGTCAATCGATAAGGCGGATCCTGCGCAACACCAAAACAACAACAATCATCTCAATGGCCTAAACGGTCACCCTCGGGACGAGACCGACTCTCTCGTTGGCTCAAGCCCTGAAGGCGATCATCACCCTGCGATAACCTCTGCCAATGCCACCCAAGAGCCTCAGCAGCCTAAGAGGAAGGGCGGCCGCAAACCTGTAAGTCTTGACTCAGTTTCATATCTCACTCTCACAATACTACACCATGTCCTGTTATTCATGAGCAACGTCTCTTGTCAAGAATAATATCACTGCACGATAGTGCCAAGGGCAAATCAACTTGACGTGTCATCTCCACCACCTCAATCTCGCTTCCTACCTCGACTGAGACAACAAACACCAACATTCAACGACCACTAGAATGGCTACTAACAAACAATGTCAAGATCTATGCGACTTCCGAAGAGCGAAAGCAGAGGAACCGACAGGCTCAAGCTGCTTTCCGAGAACGTCGAACTGAATACATAAAACAACTCGAAGAGACCATCCGTGTCCATGAGTCCAACCTTCATAACCTCCAGGCGGCCCACCGCACTGCTGCCGATGAGTGTTTGATGCTTCGATACAAGAATTCGCTTCTTGAGCGTATTCTTCTTGAAAAGGGAATCGATGTTCAGGCTGAGCTTCGTGCAAAGACCGGTAGCCCCAATCTGGGACCAACTCATATGCCTCAGAACATAGTTCAGCCGCCCCCAATCCAGCGTGCTATTATGAACCGTCATCACCAATCTCGTCGATCAAACTCGAATATCGCTCCCAAGGCTGAGCCTGTCCCGGTACTGCCGCCGCCGCTTCAACCACACTCGAATGCTGCCTCACCTAAGAACCGCCCAACTCCATCGTCGCACTCCAACTCGCCAAGCAACACCGGTTCCGCCTTCTCACCCGCTGCTTCCGATAACATGTCAATGCGAGGTTCCATGACAAGTATGTCACGACAGCAGATGCCTCAACAGCCACATCAACCACAGCAGCAACAGCAGCAGCAGATGCCCCAGAATACACAGGCCCCTCGACCTTCAATGATGCAGAACGGTGGTCGAGGACAGACTGGATCTGGAGCTTCCTACTATCCCACACCGGCTTTCCAAAACCACATCGAGCAGCTTGGTAAGCCGTTTTCTCCATCGTTTGATAGACAACACACTAACACTGTACCTCCAGAGCAAGAATATGATGCTCAAGCAGATATGATTGACGAGCCTGAGATTGAAACCCCTGCTGGTCATGGAGGATACCCTTCGGGCTACAGCGGCGAGAACCAACAGCCCATGATGATGTCGCCTGCCTCCAGTGGACCCGGACACCAGATGACACCATCCCACGAGCCTGTTCAGCAACAGCAACAGCAGCCTCAGACCACCCACTCACAGTATCCGTCGATGACTCAGTTGTTGGACCAAAACGGCCTGGACTGGGATCCTTTTGGATTGAGTGCCAGCATGGCGTTCCCCAACGGGCAGCAATTCCAGTTTGAACAAGCCAATATGAGGTGAAACTGTAACTCGAACACGACCTCTGGACCTAGTCCTCCAGAGGGTCCATTCATCGACAGGCGCCTGCAGAGCTGACGACGTAGGAGGCCCGGTCCTCCTACCAGCTCTCGTCTAATTCACGAGATCCATGGACAGCAATGATTCTCGCGAGGCTGAGAAATCACCCCCTCAGCAGAATCTTGCGCACCATAGGCATGCTACAAGAAGACAAAAACACTTAACGCTCGCACTTGATTGAAAGGCAATCTCGCCGCGACTGACTTGTTGATTCTTCTGCGGGATGTGCGATAGATATATCCCACCGCAACCGAATTGGACAACAGGCCCTTAGGCCGAGCTTCAACATATCATCATACAGCGTACAGACACGCTGCAGATGCTGAAAAGTTATGATACCCTTCCGATGGCAAGACCTGTCGACGGACTTTACGATATAATTCAGGACGGAAACATTCGATATAGAGCTCCTCGTGTTGAGGAGTCTTAGCAGTATTATATAAAAGCACTTAATCATTGCTTCTCACGAAATTAGCGACCTTTCGCGGATCGATCTATGCCTACTCCTTTTCCGAACAAGGTTGAAGGATACCGGCGCACAAGGACATAAAAAAATAGGATTGTTATGACGACGATTTTGCTTATCTTGCTTCAAAATTTGGGAATTTGGGTCTGTCTAAAAGTTTAGTATGATCAGACACAAGTCTGTTCAAGCGATTGATTTTTGTTACGGATTGACTAAGGGGTGCAGTTGATGGGGGAATCAAGACACATCATCATATCTTGGTATATAGTGCAACAAATGATTACTATCCTTGCAAAACTATCTTTCTGGAATCATTTAACCAGTGCAGTGTCGAGTCAACGTCCGGGGAGACAGGAGCTGATCCTATCCTTACCCCAGAAATGAAATGGAGCTGCGGACCTTTGCACGGTTCCCCGTGAAGTCTCGAAGGAGGACAGCTTGACACATAGCCTGGGGAAGAATGTCACAGCCAATGCTTTGCGGGTGACATAAATGATGGGATCATGTATCATCAGAACCAACGGTGAACATAACCCTGTTGTTTCTGTCGACAACTCAATTGGTCTTGGCGTAGTGCCGAACATCCACGATCCAGTATGTGTTATGTAACTGTTATTAATAGCTTCTTTGGAGTTGCATTTGGATGCTGGGGCTGGAGCTTTGAGTTGGAAGGCGGGTCAGTGCGGATGAAAGCAGCGGGACTAGCTCCAGGATCCTCTAGATGGATTATGATCGACGGATGGTGTGAGCTTGTTGTTAACAAGTTTGACGCAAGGTTTAGGGAATTGCGGGTGAAAACGGTGACTATTGTTTGTGGCGTTGGTGGCTACGGAGGTTGGTCAATCTCGAAGAGGAGAGTTTGATAGCAAGTTTTGAGAGTTGATTGTTTGGGATATTCATGAGAGGTCAATGAGAGGTTATCATTTGTTACCGTTAATGAGACTTGGGAAGACTACATCGTTTCTAGTAGCAGTTTCATAAGCATACTACACATGATATCACCTCATAGCTAAAGTGAACTCATGAATATGTATTGCATATGTGCTACGCTTCAACTTACCAGATGACCATCAAGGTCACATATCCGACAACTACCTTCAGCCAATGTTCCATAACCAGCGTATGAGATGCTGCACTTTTCCACAGCACCTTGGCCTCACCGGTCTTGTCCACGTCGTCGATACTGCAGACGACTTTACATCCATCATCATTATCTTCTCGACGAAGCAGACAACTTTCTCTTTCAATACTCCTCCTCAGCATTCCATTGTGAAGACTCCTCTTATCATTGTCTTTGGTGGCATTGTACACCATATCAATCCACTGAATCTGCATGTATGCTGAATCACCAAGACTCATATTACCGCTCCACGAACCACCGTCACTCCAAGCATTGAGAATGATCTGTGCAGGATCCTTGGGCGTTTGGAATTCGATACTGGCCACTTCTTGCCCTTGCACATACCACACAGATCGCTCAGGCGTCCAGTCGAGTCGGTGTACAACCCAGTCATCCCACCCAAGGCCCTTGGGTAATGTACCGTTGCGAGTTGCTTTGGGAACTTCATCGCCGTCATTTGTGTACGAGGGTTGATTTGTGTACTGGATCCGGTTTTTCGGATCACGCGTGAGGATCTCAATGTCGGCCTCTTGTACATCCGCCAGCTCATCGTCGTCCTCTAGGTATGTAAACAGAGCCATGCATGCACCCGCGCTACCAGTGACACGAGCGAGTATTCGCACCGAGACGTAGTGAAACGTCGACACGGATTCAAACTCGGCGGCGCTCTGGAAACCGGGCATTCGCATCGTTCGCATGGTGAGGAACGTGTCCGAAGTCGCACCGTCATCGTCATTCTCTTGAATGTAGATGTTGTTGGGAGAGTTGGACATGAAAACGGTCGCATCGCCTGAGAGACTAACACCGCCGCCCCCACGATTGTTCCAGTCTTGTATATTCCATGTGCTATCCCATGTGTCACTCTTGAAGTAGTCACTTGTTACGCCTGCTTTTCTGGAAGAATTCCGGATAGGGCTTGGGACTTGAGCATATTTTGAAAGATTTCTGAAGTCGTAAAAGTCGTGTCGTAAATAATATGCAGAGTTGGAACCATTGGTGAGGTAACAATTACACTCATCGTTGTTTGTCGGTGATGCATGACTTGTACTCGCCAACACGATAAGCTGTACAAAACACGAGCGAAATGACCAAGACATGACTATGAGTCAATCACCCAAAATGAAGAAAATTGCAAATTGAACCAAGGGCGGCATTATTGCTGATTATTAGTATTATGAGCAAAGCTATGGTACAGCTTTTGGGTCTAATGATCCTGAGAATGGTCGAGGCCTTACGTAGCCACAGTAGGAGGCCTTCAAGATGTGAGACGGCATCTTATCCGAATAATGGTTAGATTATGATAATTTGACAGACCGAATTAGTTTATTGAACCACCGTTTGTTTGTCTGTGATTGTTTGTTTAGTTCTTCTGAACCATTAAGTGAAGTGAACCCTTTCTATCACACTTCACATAGATTCACGTGACCAAAAGTTGCGCCTAAATTATGCAGCCTGTGTCAGAGGCGCAGCTGATTCATCATTTCAAGTTATACATTCGCAATTCTTTTATTCAACCAACCATCGTCGTCAAGTTGCGATTTTCAATTTCTTGATAATTTGCGAAGCATATACTTTGATATGTGAAGTGCTGCCAGCAAATCCAATCTACTGGACGCTCAAAGACAGAAAAAAAAAAGAGTTATACGCTCTGCTTTGCTAAATCCAAAACCTTAGGTGCATAAGTATCACGATGACACTGTCGATTTTCGTAAACTCATTTTTGGGATGATAGACGTTTCAATATTGCAACCACCAGCGCAACACTCGTTATGTCGTCGCCTAAGCCTTCCGCCGGCGTAGAGGAGCCGGTCGCTCAGTCGCCGAAGCCAGAGTCACCCAAACGCGACGGCGCGTCCGAACCTGCGGAGGAGACTTCTGATCGCGAATCCGGAGAGGCTTCTGAGTCGCCAAAAGACCACAACAACGATGCCGATGAGGATGCGCCACCTCTGCCAAACGAATCGACACCGGATGGACCACCTTTGCCTAGCGAACCTTTGCCTTCTGGACCGCCGCTGCCTGCGGAGCCTGCGCCGCAACAAGAGGACGATGGTTGGGATTGTCAGTGGGACCCAAACACACAGGCTTGGTTCTTTGTGAATCGCTTCACTGGTCAGTCTCAGTGGGATAACCCGCGAGTTGCCACAAGCGCTGCCGCACCGGCCGCTCCAGGTGTTCCCCAACCCCCAGCATCAGAGAAACCTGCAGCTGGAGGTTACAACCCAGCCATTCACGGCGACTACGACCCGAATGCCTGGTACGCTCAAGGCAACAGCCAAGATGACCAAACCGCAACCACCAGCGCCTCCATCGACCCTGCCGAGATATACGCCTCAACAGCTACGTTTAATCGCTTCACTGGCCAGTTCCAAACAGCAGGCGAAGGACCTGAGCGCCACACCGACGAGGCCAAGTCTAAGCGCCAGATGAACGCCTTCTTTGACGTTGAGGCTGCAGCCAATTCCCACGACGGTCGCAGCTTAAAGGCCGAGCGTTCAGGGAAGAAGCCTTCCAAGACAGAGCTCAAGCAGTTCAAGGAAAAGAGACGAGCGCGCAAGGAGGAGAAGCGTCGCGCTTGGTTGCGAGACTAAGTCGGCAGAAACAATTTTTGTATCTTCGCATACACAATGGCATCACCCCTGGGAGGCGTTATTCTTGGTAGGAGTTGGCGGGCCGTTTCTGGGTTTGGTTGGGGAAGTGGTAGGCTTCAATACGTAGTGCTAGGACGGCGTTGGATGCGGACATTGAATAGGTATACGAAGGCTTGAGATCGAGGGATCAGGCCCTTTAAATTATATACCCCAATAAATTCTCTTGACAATTACTTTTCTATATTCATCGCATCTACTATTCCTCTTCATCATCGTCATCTTCTAGTTCCATATTCAGATGGACACTCTCATCATCGTCATCATCACTCTCCTCCTCTTCGACTTCCTTAGCCACAACCGGAGCGCTTTGGATGGGTGCTGGGTGTACTCGATCAGGAGACGAGGACTTCTCCAAGACTTGCCTCTTTGGAGGCGCAGAGTCGGAGCCCTCGTGCTTTCGCTTGGGCGGTGAAGATGCTCGTGCAAAAGCATTCCGGTTCTCCGAAGCATTGGCCTTTTCAATGGGAGCAAAGGGGTTACTTTGAATGGGCAGGTTCTTCTCGGCATGTGGAGCTGTGGGAATCGTTCCAGGGTTGAACAAGTCGCCCTTCTCAGGGACCATTTCTTCCTCGTCATCGCCATCCTTCATCTCCTCATCTTCTTCCTCTTCCTCTTCCTCCTCGACAGGGAGCGCCTCTAGGGGCTCCTCACCATCGGCCAAACTCTGAGCACCTGCACGGATGTTGGTACGCAGGATTTCAAGACTCTTATCGTTGGGGAATTGTTGAATAAGGTGAGGAAGGATGCTGGGATACACTCGACCTCGCTGGTCCTTGTAGGGGTTGAGAACACTTGCGATCATGGCATCGCGGTTGCTTGTGAGAATAGCTGTCTGGTCAACGAGACCTCGCAAGGCAGCCTTGATATGTCTCTGTGGTAGGTGTGATAGAATGATGGGCAGGAGACTAGCAGCAGCGGTCTTGTGATCCAGCTCTAGCGACGTGTTTACGGCAACAGCGTTAGCCTGAGGGAAGAGCATGAGATCAGCATTGGCAGCAATGCTATTCTTCTTGCTGTCAGTGCCAGAGGCCGCTTGCTTCTCGATATCCTTGAGATATCCGGCATCTTGCTGCAGGTCACGACAGCAAGCACCAAGGACAGGGTCCAGGCTGCTAACAGAGGGCTTTGACAATGCTGGGCCTGAGATGGTCAAAATCTCCTTGAGGACGGTGTAACCGGTCGTTCGGACGGTGGGAAGGTTGATACCCGACTTGAACACTCGGACGAGATGGTCAAGTGCCTCAGGAGCGATGGCCACTGCATCTTGTCCTAGACGCTGAAACAAGGCCTTGATAAGGTGCAGAGCAGAGATGTGAATATCCGGTAGTGCTGCCCAGAGGTTGTCCTTCTCATCTCTTGAAATAGCAGCATTGGTCTGAAGTGCCTGCTCCCATGTTTGGGACTTGGGTGAAAGTCTAGCGATAAGCAGTAGCCGAGATGCAGTATCGATGAGTGCGCTGGTAGGTATTATGACAGGTGCCTTGGTAGGGTATTTCAGACAGTCTGAAAGATAGCCAAAAAGGCCAATCAAACGTTCAGCACCAGCCTCAAGACCTGACCATGAGGGGAGCTCGTTTGCAGATGAGCCTCCCCCGCTTACTGCGCCATCAACACCAACATGCGATCGAGTATACCCATTTGACCCCTCCCACGATTCTGAGACGGCTCTCAAAACCTGATCAGCAGTAGAGTGCAGGTCATTCAGGAGAATGTCAATCAGCTTGGCCCACTCATCACTGCCTCCTGACTTGGCTGCGACATGGTGAAGCGAGATGACGAGTTTTCGCGAAGCTCGCTGCAGGGAATGAGGAACAACAATTTCGTCTGATTGCGTAGGAGCGAGATATGGCTTGACGGCGATTTTGAACTTGGCGCTGAAAGGTCGAACTGTGGCTGGGTAGAGCGGGACCAGAGCTGAGAGGGTGTCGCATATAGTCTCGATAACAGACAAAGGTGTCTGAAGCTTCTCTCCAGACTTGGGTGCGCTGATGAGTTTGAGACAGGCATCGACAAATCTCGGGATACCTGGCTTAGCAATCTCTCGAGACAGAGTTTGATACGGCTCAACAAAGATGTAGATGCGGGCAAGAGTTACAATAGCCAACTCCTTTGAAGCCATTGGGTCATTTTTCTACCAAGAATTAGTGTTCAACTCAATCAAATTGTGATTGACTATACATACCTCGACCACATCCATAAGACCGCTGGCCCAGTCCTTGCATTCTCGCACAACTTCCCACCCACCAACATCCACCATGGTCTTGATGAGAGCAACGGCAACGAACCGAGACTCACGAGTTGTTCGTCCAATCAAGAGACTGTTGATCTTCAGCTTAAGCTTAGGGATGATGGCGGCGGCTTCTGAAGCGCCATTCTTGCCCTTGACGTCTACAGGCGTTGACAAGGGCTCTTTGCAGTGTAGGACATGATTGATGAGAGATGGTAGCGCATGAAGGAGAAGCTGAGGATCCTTGATAGCGTTAAGTTTGTGGAGAAGAACCCGCAGATCGGGTGGTGCTGAGGTTGCCATGATTGTTGAGCCTTGGTTGAGTTTTGATGAGAGAGTGTGTGAAGTCTCAGACGCTTTGCGACAAAGTAGGTTCTTCAAGATATTGGTCAAGACAAAAAGTAGACCAACTCAAATTTGATACTGCGCCGTCACGTGTAATTGACAGAGGCAGTAGCAGTAAAACAATTTTAACTAAATCTGGATAGTCGCAGAATATCCAGAAATCAATCCAAAATGTAATTCCTGGCTTGTAACCACGAATTATGAGTGAAGCTGTCTTGAAGACCGATCAAGAAATCTTTATCGAAACTTTTTTTCTGCTTCCAGTAGGTAAGTCCCTAGCAACGCAACAAGCATAGCTCAGGTGGGTTAGCTCGGGCGGCGGGAAGACCCCTGACAGTGGAGTCTATCGTGCTGTAATGACAGACTCTGATTGGCTTAGAAGCTGAGTTACGTCGTCCCAGCAGCTCTCATCTGCCAAATACCACCGTAACCACATTGAAGTCCAGAGACCGCAACTATACCATCACCAAAGGGGGTCTCTTGAAACAACTCGAATAACTTTCAGTATAAACAATTCTGAAACCTTTCCGTTTCAATAACCTCGAATTAGAGGTCTTCAGTTCATTTTTATCATCGAAACCCCCCCGCTATGCGCTTGGGCGCTATCTGGTTGCTAGTCTAAGTCCGAGACCGATCTCCTGAACGTCGAACAGATAAAAGACGTTGAACCATGGGTGTAAGACGAGAACAGGACGCCCTCACCGAATTCCGAGAAGCTGACCATGTATTGCTACTGCTTTATAGCCTAAAGCCGTACAATATATCAACCAGTTGGACCATGCCCGTTGTGACGGAAACTGGGACTTAGTCCCGGAGCTCGTTCGCAAAGTCCGCAAGCACGCACCCGAAAGAGCTTGTATGATACACTTCGAATAGCTTCCCAGGATGTGATACTGATATAAATAAATTAGGTCTTGCGCTGACCGCCGAAACCGAATGCGCCATTGCAAAGACGACAGGTGCAGCAGCCCACACGAATAACGAAAGTCGACCGACCACTGCTGTGAACACGGGCGAGATCACTGCTGCGGGCCAATTACCGAAGCTCGAGGCTGCAATCGATGAGGAGGCTGCACACGAGAACGACAGATTTCAGGCCGAGGTATGTGCAGGCTGGCTGCACTGGACGCTAGGAGACTACAACCAATGTGTTAGCCGACTGCCCGAGAACAACTTGGTGGAAGGAGAGATCAACCCGGCCGACAAGAATGCCGAATGGTCAAGCGTTTGCGCGCTCAAAGCCGCATACCTCAGGGCTAACTGCCTTGCACGTAGTGGCGAGTCGAAGCAAGCCCTGATTTCTTATCGAGCTGGTCTTCCATCCCTTGGACGAGTGTGGGCGGAACACGGTATAGGACGACAGCTTCGATACTGGTCAGAGCTCTTTCTCACCGAGTACTGCATGCTCGCTGGCAACACGTTCCGAAACAACGAAATCTTGCAGCTTGATTCTGACTCATTGGCCGGCTACCGCGCATGGGCAAGATTCTGGGATACCATGTCGACACCAGTGACTGGAGGATACGGCTTCAAGGGGTCAGTTCCTAGGAGAACGGTCTGGAAGGAGTACTACACTGCCATCTCACAGATTGTTGAGTCCGATCAACCTTATCCTACCGGGTTTGTGAGCAACACTGCCGGCGACCTTTCACCACGGAGTCAGCTACGAGTAGAGCTCAAGCATGCCGAAGCTACATACCAGACACTGTTACTGGGCGAAACATCTTTCCCTAGAGCTGAAGATGAGCGCGAAGAAGTTGAATGGTTCGTGAACCAGGCACTGCGGAACTGGACTATCCTCTGCGGACGAGGATGGAGCGAAAAGGATCTTGGCCAAGGTGGAAGAAGCAGCCTGAGTCGTGGAGTCCTCGATACTCTTTACAACGCAGCCATGAAGACCTACCACTCGACATCCATTCTACGCGCCCTATTTCTTGTTCACCTCTCCATTGCCGAGTTCGATCTAGCTTTAAAGGCCTTTGACTCTTATCTTGAGATTGTCAAGAAGGGTAAGGCCCGCGTTGACAAGACAGGACACATAGAGCCTACTTTAGATGATGATGCCACGGTGCTTGAGACAATAGCACAATGCATTCAAGCTCTTTGCAGATATGGTCAACGCTCTGCCTCGGAAAAGGCGTATCAGCTTGGATTGGAATTAGAAGACTGGTTAGCCAAGTTACCACAAATCGCTTCGCAAGATACACCTACACCAGTCATTGCAGAACACGGTGAGGTCAACTCGCCACACCCACCCGTACCGCCCCATACCACCGCACTGGCATGGCAAGCTATTGGTTTGTCCCAGGCCAACTGGTCAAGAATCACATACGAGGCCGCTGCTAGGACTGAGATTCAGCAAAAGGCGATTCGATGCCTGAGAAAGTCTCTATCAGCTGACCTCGGACGCTCAAAAGATATTAGGAGTTTCTATGCTCTTGGTTTGCTTTTGGCTGAGCGACGAGAGTTGACTGCCGCGATCGAGACAGTCAGAACTGCCTTGACAACAAGCAAGGATCAGGAAGAAAATTACGATCTGGTATATGGGCCATATTGGCAAGAACGTTCCCTGATTCCTGTGTGGCATCTTCTTGCTCTTCTCCTTAGTGCTAGACAAGATTACAACATGGCCGCAAGAGCATGCGAGGGTGCCCTGGAACAGTTCAAGGATAACACAATCTTGTTTGGTAAAGCCGACCAAGGTTTTAGAAGTGAGCACCTCAATGAAGTTGAAAAGGGTACTGCAGCAGAGGACCGACACGGTCTGGTTGATGACATGGATGATGCTGAGAAGGAAAGCATTTTGGAAGTCAAGATGACCCAACTAGCATTGGTTGAGCTACTCGAGGGACCAGATGTGGCTGTGAATGCTAGTTTTGAGTTGTTGACTCTTTTCTCAAGACTGTTTGGAAATGTCGCGGCGCAGACCACACTCAACACCCCCAAGGCCGTGGAGCCACCAAAGACTTCTGGTACGCTTAGAAGCATCAGAGGAACCATTTTTGGCGGCAACGACAGGTCAAGACCGCCTACTAGGCAGGTCTATGCTTCTCCCACCGACAGGAACCCCAGACCTCAGACTGCCGCAACGGTACGCAGCAGTGCCCCGACCATCCAAGTTACTGAAGACAATGGATCCATGGCAGACTCACGGCCACGAACAGGATCGGTGTCCTCTGTTCGCCGTAATAGGAGCGCTACTGGTAGGAGTAACAGTCTTCAGAAGCGTGAACGAAGCCATAGCCGACAACGATCTTCGAGTATCGGGGCTATCGTATCTGCCCATGGGCCTACTGTTGTTGATGGTGATGTCTTTTTCACACCGGCCAGTGTTGAAGACCAAGAAAAGGAACAGCAGTCAGACTTTTTTACTTACTCGAGTAAACGACAAACCGCAGCCAGAAGCTCGTCTTTCAGGGCGCGACCCGTGGGACATCTCAACTCGTATCTTTCCACGCAGTCCAAGTCAACTGATTACTCTGAGCTTTCAGTAGACAATACTTACACTTCTACTTGCATTCTGCCTTTGGTCCACTTCCCCAAGGATAAGGAACGATCTCAGCGAGTTGTCCTCCTGATTCGAGTTTGGCTCATGATCGCCGGTTTCTACCGCCGTGCGGGCATGTATGAGGATTGCAAGGGGGCCATCACAGAGGCGCAACGACTCATTCAAAGTCTTGAGTCTGATTTGGCCAGAGATCCCTCTGGGTCAGGCTCCTTGAAAGCTCCTAGCTGGGCTGAGAAGAAGAGTGTTGAGGACCTCTGGAGCGACTTGTATGCAGAGGTAAGTTTGAACCCCTTTTCGTGTACTACACAGTCAGCTAACATATTATAGCTTGGACAACTGTCTTTGTCAAGGGGAGCACCATACACAGCCCGCAACGACTTTGAAACCGCTTTGACACACACGCCGAACCATCCTAGCTCTATCGTCGGACTGTCCAACATCCTGCTCGACATCTACAGTGAAGATCTTCTTCCACCACCCCCAGTCCCTTCTCTGGACGACCCCCTCAACATGAATACTGGTAACAACCTAATGTTGACCTCAAATAGTTACTCTGTTTCCTCCCTGCCCTCCACACCCCTCGGTCTCGGTCCTTCAAATACCCAATTCACTCCAAAGCCACCAATGAATGCTGATGAGCTTCCCATCGCTTACAAGGCCACCCGTCTACCCCTCGTAGACCGCCTCGCCGCCCGAGACCGCGCATATGCGCTGCTTTCAACCCTCACCAAACTCGGATCCAGCTGGAACTCATCCGAGGCATGGTTCACCCTGGGCCGCGCCTATGAGGAGAGTGGACAGCCCGACAAGGCCAAGGAAGTACTCTGGTGGTGCGTTGAACTTGAAGAAGGTACAGGTGTTCGAGATTGGCGCTGCTTGACTGGTGGAGGTTATATTATCTAGAAGAGGATATACTATCTAGACATTCTATTCGTTTATTCTGGCTACTTGGGTTTTAAAAGGTGGAACGTAATATTGGGACTTTATAGTTTCTATCTGGTCATTTTGCGGTTAGCTGTGTCTAGCCGCTATCTGGCCTCTCGTTTTCTATTACATACATGTAACTTCTTCAAGAAATCGTCCCTCAGTCTGTGATTTCCAGCCCTTGGCCTCGGTTTCATGTGATAAAGTACCCGCTCAGCAAGTATGATTGAAGACTAGAGTGCAGTATGCCACTTATGCACAGATCCGTCGAATCTTGCACAAGTCTTACAACAAGCAACCCGTTATGCTTTAGAATAATGGTGGTGTGCTTGCCAAACTTTAGGGAGGCATTAAACAGGATACTTCAGTGCTCGTAACGAGCTCAGCTCAAACTTGTCAACTCATCATATCGCTGTACCAAAATCGACTATGGGGGTTTTGTGTAGTTGTCTTTCTGACTTTTTATATCTTCATACTGTCTTTGTCCTCTTTCGACCGCTTATTGATTCCAGACATTTGTGGCAGTGATAAGGTCTGGTCGCCGCTGATTCTGGATGTTGTAGCACCAACGCTGGTGGTAAGTAGACCTCTTTCTTGCCCATCTCGATAGCATTTTTTACTTCCTCCAAAGTTATACCGCCCTCGCCGTCACGAACGTAAGTCCAATCTCCGATCGTCTTTATGACATATTTCTTCAACTCTTTAGGCCATACCAGAGGCTCGCGTGAAAGCTGCTAGGTCACTTCGGCCCTGATGCAGCCCCAATTATACAGCTCGTCTTCTGAGGGATTGTATGATGTCGACCTCCTGCGGGAGCGGAGTAGCTGATTGTATCGTTAGCAAGATGGTCTCAGAGTGTCCTAGTATTTTTATGTAACATCCTTCAAGTCTCTACTATTCTCGCGGGTCGTCTGGGCTCGTACTCACCTCAGCAGGGCCTCCGGCTATGGGAACTCTCATTGTGATAAGTGATGGTGGAATAGCGTGGTTAAAATAGTAGAGCGAATGGATGATTTGAAAGCGATGATCTTATGAACGAGAGATTGATGATGTAAATGAAGAAGAGGGAAACGATCGGACGAAAGGCATCGATAGGTAGGTAGGTACTAGTCGTGTCTTGCGTTCCTTCCATCATAGCATCGTCTGCGTTGAGGAAGAACAGTTGGCCTCTCGAGGTATGAGACACGAAATTAGCAGGTTGCTTTATGCTATTTACCTAGACTATAATCACAAGCCATTTGTCTTTAGGTAGGCATACCCTAAGGGTTTAGAGGTCATCTTTTGCTAGGTACTTTAGTATTTTTAGGGGAAGTTTATCAAGGTTGGGAGACACAGAATCCAAGAGCACAGCGCCATTTAACGAATATCCCTGCGGACGATATATTTAATGAAGAATTGTATTTCATCCCATCAATGTCCAAATCTCTTAATGCTCTTTCACTCCTCCTCCTCCTCCTTGGTCAGTCATCTCCGCTGCGAAATGATCCAGCCGCCCTATGAAAATAAGATATAAGAAAAGGGGGAATATTCGTTTTGACTGAGAATGACAAAAAGACGATTCTTTTTAGCTCTAATGTGTTCGCAAAACTCCCTGAACATGCGCCGCGAGGCTCCCATACAACCAGCCACCCATCCTTCCATCCGCCCTTGACTCAAATCATCATCATCATCATGAGGCAATCTCGTCATGCTTCGATCCACCGTGCTTGCTATTCAGGCGCGGGTATTTCCCTATCAAACTGCAATGATCCTAACGATTTTTCTTTCTGTTTTTATCTTTATTTATTTGTTTTTGTCCTTTCGTTTACTGTCGGGACTTGAGTAGATTTTGCAAGTAAGAAGCGAACTGTCTCTTATCCGTTGACGTCGTAAGAGAACGTAAGAAGTCGTCGCCGCTGACACCGAGGGTGGGGAAAAGGTTGTTCTGCAACTCCTGGATGAAAACATCGCCAGTCTTGGTGTAAATGATCTGCTCCAGACCTGCAATCTCTGTGAGAACTTGCTTGGTCTGGGCATCCTGGAAGGGGCGGAAGTTGGGGTTCTTGATGACCTCCCAGCAGGTCGAGTGGAATCGGTCAATCATGAACTGCTCAAAACCAGGGAACGCAGGGTTGGGGCTACCAGAAGGAGCTGTTGGGTTCTGGGAGATGGTGGCGACGTCAGGCCCACCCCAAATGGATGCCATTCTCATCATGAGGGTGAACGCAAGTCTGCTACTAGTAACGTTGCCCTCTAGAGTCTTGGCAAGTTCAATAATAGAAGAAATCATGGGCTCAAAGAAGCCTTGGTTGGACTCGCTGACAAGGACGCCGTCTAGTCCATTGTTAAGAATGATTTGGAGGAAAGAGAGGTATTCCCTTCTCAACTCGCCCAACTGAATCTCATCGTCAGTTCCAGCGATAGGCTCCGTAAGCCCACCAAAGATCCGTTGAAGCAGGGGCGTTAGGAGCATGTTCAATACTTCGTAAATCTCTGACTTGAAGCCAAACACAACCTGGTCCAACAAACGCAGGAACATAGCCATCTCATCCTTGGAAGAGCTTTGGGACAACAAGCCTTCAATCCACTGTGGTAGTTGGGGGAGCACGGCGGCACCCAGAACACCCAAGAGCTTAGAGAAAGACGATCGGCAAGCAGTTCGAATTTCGGCAGATGAGTTCAATTGGTTCAGGGCAATCAGGATGGCTTCAGCTGCGCGGGAGAATTCATCGGAAACGGCCTTGTCAGGTGGTCCATGAGTATTAGACGTAATACCGGGAGTCCAGTCCGAGAATCCGTGGGCAAGTGTACCCAAAGCCATGACAATATGGTGTACCTGGAGGGTTGCCTGGGCATCTCCAGCTTTGGCTCGTGGGAGGTGTCCTTCCATGTCTGTAAAAAGGGGGTCCATCACAGATCGGGCGTACAAAGCTTGCTTGTCGGCGGGCGTGCTCTGGGTTGAGGATATACATCCAATGGCCTCGAAGAGATACAGTTGGCTGGTGAAAAGAGCATCTGCGGAATGGTCGGACTCGTCTGAAGACATATCATCATCAGCGTCATCTCCTGGGACCTCGGCCTTGATAGGTAACAGGTCTCCAATTGACTGGATAACTGTCTCCGCAACATTGCCGACTTGAGCACGGAGCTGCTTGATGAACCGGTGGAACAGGTACCACGATCGGGTCTTGATACGAACATGGTCGTGGTGCACTAAGCGTACAAAGTTCTCGAGGACTTGAGGGATGTACTGTGAAAGATGGTTTTCGAAAACAACGCAGTATCTAACACAAATCTCCATGTATTGCAGGAGAATGGCTGGGTGAGAGAAGTTGGCAATGCCTGTATTATGTTAGTCACTGTACTGCAAACAATAGTAAAGAATTCTTACCAGATTCAACCATCTTCTGCATCATGACCACCAGCCTCTCCGAGGCTTCTGTTGAAGGCTGGTTCTTGGTTCCCAGGCCTTGGTTGGGAAGAGCAAGCTCGCCAAATAGGTACATCTCATACAAGGCCAGGTCAAGATCCCGCCAGTCCATTTGCGAACGCTGCTGATCAAGCGTTTGGAAAGTGGTGGCGACCAGGTTGCTCAGCATGTCCATGTACAATGGCTGATCAATAGCAGCGATGGACTTTTGCAAGTTCTGGAGCTTGCGACGCAGGTCTTGGAACTCAGCTTCGTCGGTAAGCTCATCCTCATCACCCCAAGTGGTAGTCTCATCATATCTCATCTTGCGAATGATGGCATCCAAGATGGGCGCAAGCATGCCGCCGTAATCTTGGTTAACGACAGTGAGTTTACGAAGGAAGGTGAGCAGATCAGTCAAGGCGGGGATGACTGAAGAGCAGACTTCATCATATTCGTCAGAGAAGAAGCGCAAGAGGAAAGGCAAGAAGCCATGGAGATGTTGGTTGGCTCTGGCGCGGGTATCATCACTGATCTGGCTGTCCTCGAGAGCCCGTACGATATCGGAGAGGACGGTGTTAACTAATTTTGCAACTGCCTCGGCCAAATCCGTATCGTATCGAGAGGTTCCTTTGTACTCGCGCAGAGGAGGACTAGCAACTAATTGTTCGACAATTTCTCGAAGGTTGATAAAGGAGATCATCTCCATCTTGTCTGACGAACGCATTTTCTTACCACATATCTCATTCAAGGTGTCGATGGCGGTGTCACGGACCTTGTCCTCACCCGAAGTGCTTGGCCGTCCAACCACGGGCAGCAGCAGCCCAAGCATATCCTGGCTGATAACCAAGCCGATATCTATCCAGCTGACCCACTTGCTCAGAACCTTGAGGACGAGTTCTACGACAGTGTCGTTGTTGGAGTATCGTGTCAGAAGCTGCTTCCACGACTCGGACACCTTGTGCATATCCTGAGCTCGGAGTTGGTCCTTGAGCTCTGTATTTCGCTTGGCTTCGTTGTTCTGCCGTGACAGAAGCATATCGGCGATCTCGTCGTGGATGGAGCCGAGGATTCGAAGGTAGAAAACAACACCCTGAACATTGTCGGTGTTTGTGGAGAGACCTGTCAACTCGAGGTGGTCGTCAAGGAAGCTTTCCCATCCATTTTGGTAGAGGAAAACGAATAGATACGTCAACGTCTGTGTGAGCTTGTTCTGAAGGTGCGCGGGATCGGCTTCTTGTTGGGCGTTGGGGCCATAGGTTTGCCGGCAGTATTGGAGGAGAGTTTCTTTGAGGAAGCCAAGGCTTGCTTGGTCAAGACCTTGTGTGTGGACGGCATAGTTGACCACCTCGAGACATACCAGACGGACGACTTCTGATGTTCGAGGGGTTCGAGCGAAGAGAGTAGTACAAGGTTGCCACCCAGAGGGGTCTGTCCGTAGCTGGTTCAGGTATTCGAAGGCTTGCTCTTTAAAGGATTGATCGGAGGTGGGGTTCGAGAGGATCCCGACAGCGTTCTCGATCTATGCCATTGAGATACATGTCAGTAAAGAAATGTCTTGTTATTTGGCGAGCGTCATGCGATAGATACCCAGACCGCCGGGTCGGGTCTCGAGAACGTGGTCGGTCATTAGGTTGCAGCTCAACCATGACCAAAGTGACGGTTGAAATGGCGGGGCACGAGTAACTGAAATATCATGGGAAGGGTCAAACTCACCTGAGCCTCCATGATCAAGATTCAGTTGCAATATACAATGGAGATGGGAAAGAAAAAAAAGAGAGACTTTTCAAGTATGGACGACGCTGCTATAACTCGGGCAGCCTAAAGGTACACAGCATCCAGCATAGTTATGGTAGAAATTTAGAGGGACAAGGCTACCGAGGGGTCATGCCTAACTCAAGGGTAGATTTGGATTGGATGGGCTGCGGTATAGAGAGCAGGGATGTAGCTGAATGGGGCTGGAGCTATTCCAGAGACAGCTGTAGTAGCAAGAGTTGCTATGGGCACGAGAACAACAATTTCGAGGCGGTGACAGCAGTTTTGGGCGTGTGAAGACTGCGTTTTTGCCTCGAGATGTGCTATTTCTAAAAGTCGGTGCGTTTGAACTTCTTTGGGCTTGTGTCAATGTGGGGTAACTCTGCCGGCACATGTTCGGCAAAACGCCTCTTTCCTTTGTACTTGACAACCAACTCTCATCATGAGCCTCACTTACAACTATGGCACGACGGTTGTATCTATGATACGAGAAACTAGTTTATATATGTTTCTTATCAAAACTTTGATATATACTCGAGTGAACAGTCTAACATTTACTGTATGTCAAACAGCAGATGAACAGTATGGCATGAGGGACTTTCGAGCAATCACCAACTCACATGCTTAAACCACAGCCCAACGGTCCCATATGAATGCCAACTACGTCGAATAGCATCGTTCATGTACATTCAGAGTCATTATGGAAACCCAACATCCATCTCCATCGGTACAAATGGGTAACTTGAGCCCTACTTGTGGGTCAGGGCAACCTAACCAAGTCTTCGATCCCCATCTTCAAGATACGTCTTTTGATCTCGAGATCGACCTTGTGTATGGGGAAGGTGATGTCTTGGAAGACTTGTAACCTACAATAGGCGTACGGGCTCGACATCACTTGATGCTATTCGTATCCCACGGTTGTCGAGGTTCTTGGATATTGTAACTCGGAATTCGCTCGTTTCGAGTTTGAGCGTACTCGAACTTGATCAAGCCACAAGATCTCTTTGCATGTCAACATCACTTTGATGATGAATACTATCGTTTCATTCAATGATGGTCATCGGGGGTTCGTCTTGTGACACAACCTGTGGTCCATGTCTTTATATAAAGATGTAAAGATGCAGGTGTTGGTTAACTAAAAGCCTACCCTGTGGTCACGGTACTGAGGTAAGGTTGGCCATTAATACGATGCAGGTGAAGTAAGCGAACGGTAGTTCTTATGGAAGACAATGACTCTCGGTAATCTTATCGGGTTCGATCTTGGACTCGAAACCTATGCGAAGTTATCGTGTTCGCCAAAAACGGGTCAAGTCCAGAGGCGTCCAGAGGCGTCCAGAGGCGTGAGAAGCGGCAACAGCATGCATGCCACGGGTCACACGGAAGCGAGAAACATGGTACTTTGACCTGGAATGGAAGTTGAAGACTTGAGTATTAAGGCCGTTGAAACTCTTATAGGTAACCAGGGAGTTACCAAATCCTAGTGCTAAGCGCTTCACATAACAGTGTTCGTTTCGAACTTCATTCACATGAGCTCATTGAGAAGAGCTGAAGGGCGATCGACCATTAGCCGATGTTTCGTTCGGAGAATCTGTCGGGATTTCAGCTGGTCTATGGATTTAGAAAAGGAAAACTATCGTCAGCGACAAGCATCACTGGTCGGTATTTGGCGCATGACGTGAACTTTTCAGCACCTGTGGGCCGCGTTGTTTTGTTTCCTGGCAATGGCTAGGGGGAAAAAAAGTGAGATCGACAAGACATTCGCTGAAACAACAGAGATCGACAAGAGCCTGGCGCTTCAGAACGTGCAAAGACATCTTTGGTCAATAACGGCGCTATTGGCGAAGGACTAGCAGGACGATCAAGATAGAGATGACTCGTCATGTTAATTTCCCCATCCGTTCTCTGTTTGACTTTGTTTGGCGTAACAAACGTCGAGATGTTGGCTGTTTGTAGTCTCCTATAGCGGAGAGAATTATAGGAGAAACTGAATAGCGAGTGTTGTAACGGATAATATGGACGCGGACTATTACTCTGCAATCGTTGCCAAGCCTTGATGACAGGCGGAAAGATCTTCAGGAGAAGGCGGCAAGCCACTAACTACCGGCTGGGGCATTGGCTCACAACCAGCCAACACAAACTGCGAGAAGCAAGGGCTCAAGCAGGGGTGTTGTGATGTAGTATTGGTGATGACTTTTTGTAACTGTCAGTTGACGCAAGCAACAAGACACAAACGACAGAAAATGACAAGAATAGAAGCATTTCGTAAAGACCGACTACAATGCATATCAAGAGATTACAATCGATGATCGAATTCTTCGACTTGGATCCGCGGATAACCCGATTCAACATCGCGTACAGATTGTGGACCTGATTCCTCAAGCCGCGTAAGACGAAATATTGTGGTTCTTTGTTTCATCACTTTGAGAGTACGACTCGCTCGACGTCATTGGGAGTGTGTGTTTTGATCAGCGTCAATAAAGTAGAAATGGCTTGAGCCTAATGCATGGTGTAACCAGGAAGTAGTTTTCGTAGCGGGAATAAGCTCGTTCACTCTCAAGGCCCAAGATTGGACGAAATTTAGTTGATTGATGGCCATAGCGGCAGTCGGAAGCCTTCATGTTTCCCTCGCTTTTGAGGCCTCTTTTCAATGCGAAACAACCCGTCACCGCCTCAGAAGAGCCTTTACCTAGAATTTGGAAACCTCCTTGGTTGACACAGGTAGAGATTGACTTTGATTCTCAAACGTTCATTCGCATTTTACCTTTAAAATTAATCTCTACAAGTAAATTCACAATGAGGTAACCGAGATATGTTCCAAGCAACTTGCAGAGTAGATTCTTCCACATTTAGAACATTGTGATCTCGGTTGGTGTTTGATTGTGATGTTGCAGTTTTCTACCCTCCTTCATATCCACATAGCATGTACCTAGTTGATCAAAGAAACAAGCTTATGAGATCGGAAGATTAAAAACGTCAGCTGAATGAATATGAGATTGTTTGTTCAACACAGACTTCCGATAGCCACACCTGGAAAGCACAGAATAGACTACACTAACACGCAATAGCCTAATTGATGCCAAGTTTTATCAAGATGCGCATCGGGGACTTGGGATTGTGATGTGATACTTGGCTGGTGGGTTCCTGCATTAATCCCAAGTTAGAGGGTGGCGCAGAAGACGAAGACCCTGTCGCTGCTCCACGCATGGCGGATTAGCCTTGTCTCAGATTTTGTGAAATAAACAGAGAACGAATCAGATTTCCTATGCAAGCCCTGAATAAAAAATCATCTGGCGGAGTGAGGATGATGGATGGTTGTGTACAATTCATTGGTTATTGCTGTTTATGCACTAAGACATCTTCTCTGGCCTGTCAACCAACATGCTCATGAAATACATCTTGTGTGAATAATAGAAAAGGATTTTGAATATCGTCCCATAGTTAATTCTATCTAAATGCCGCTCGCATGGTTGCGAAACAAGACATGTCTTGGCCTCTCATTAGATGAATCCAGGGTCTTGGAACAAACAATGGATAATGCTCGGTCCGATATTATGTTTTACACAGATGGAAGCCTTCTATTAGTCGGGCCCTTGCATAAAAGGGGATGGACACTTGCACAAGTCCTTTTATTTTGGCGGTCGGCTTCCAAAGGAAGGTAATTCTAGGGACATGCTAGCAGTGCCCCAGTAAAAAAGCGCTAACATCCACCAACTGGTCCCCGCCAACAAAAGAACCCCGGTTTCGTCTTTCAGCAACTATCCCTGATCAACATGCACCAAGCATCGATCCTTATATTATACCGCGCTTCAAAGTGCTAAAGATGTTATGAGGCAGAGCCGAGAAAGATGGTGGGGAGGCAAGTCAGAAGAAATCGCAACTTTTCACTTGGTGCGGAAGTTTTTGCTAATTCTTTTGCTTTTTGCGGCAGCATTCTCAGTCTCTATCAATCAATCCTTGACGAACCGTTCGCTGAACTTGGCGCCCCCTCCTGCATCAAGCAGCCACTCAGTGTCCAAGCCAGGCCTGTCGATCCCTGGGTGTGGCGGTCTCCACTTTAGACGATTGAGATGAAGAGGGTGAACGGAGGGTGAATGGTTGATGTTCAACTGGTCCACTGACCGACAATGACCATTGAGACTTTACTCTCAATGCAAGGAATCAAATGCACTTTCCCAGATGTTATTCCCTGACCTTGGCAAGCCGCTAGGAAAGGCCTTATCTTGGAAATGCAAAGCAAGCCTCACGAACTCGTCAGTTCATACACTAGACAGCACCAACAGCATTGACATCCAAGGTCACACATCGACGCCATAGTATCTATCTGCTGTGCTCTCAACCATCTCCTGGTCCGTGGCTCACAAGTGATGGCGATCCAACCGCCAACTTTCAAGGATATGGGGCTCGAATCCACAGACCAAAAGACGCTCCATGGGTGACCGGCTTCGAAAGACTGGGGCAAGTGACATGGCTTCCCCCAGCTTCGATACTAGGTTCACACTTCATCCCATGTTGATTGCCTTTTCTGGAACCCCCCTGGGACCCAGAATGAATGGCCTCCTTGGATGAGGGTACGTAATTTCTGTACAGGAGTTGCTGCTCTATGGATCGATATCGCTATTAATATGCGACCATCCTGCGACCTCAAACACTTCTTTTCCTTCTCTCTTCTTCAGCCCAAAAAGCCATTTCAAAACTGCTAGTTTCAGAAACATTTGACCTAGGTCGTCCATTCTTTCACCACTTTCAAATATATCAACCTATTTTTTAAAGCTTATAGCTTCACTTTCTTTACCAACTTACAAACAAATTCGCCAAGATGCGTTACTCTACTGCCGCTGCCGCTCTCCTGGCCACTGGTGCCATGGCCCACTACGACGAGGTTTCCAAGGTCTACGAGACCAAGCGAGTCACCATCACCTCTTGCGGACCTGAGGTCACCAACTGCCCTGCTCGATCTACCGTCGTCAGCACCACCTCTTACCCCGTCCCTCCCCAGGTCACCTCTGCTCAGCAGGGTGCTGACACCACTGAGGCCTACGAGGTTCCTGAGGTTCCCGCTACCACCGAGGCTCCTGAGGCTCCTGCCACCACCGAGGCTCCTATGACCACCTCTACCATCTACTCCACCAACATCAAGACCATCACCTCTTGCGGTCCCGAGGTCCCCAACTGCCCCGCCACTGGGGGCACTCCCGTTGTCGTTACCGAGACCATTGCTGTCTCTACCACCATCTGCCCTGTCGAGCCTACCGGTGGCAGCGAGAAGCCCGGCAAGCCTGAGACTCCTGGCCAGCCTGAGACTCCTGAGCAGCCTGAGAAGCCTGAGCAGCCCGAGACTCCTGAGCAGCCCGAGAAGCCCGAGACTCCTGGCCAGCCCGAGCAGCCTGAGACTCCTGAGCAGCCTGAGAAGCCCGAGCAGCCCGAGACTCCTGAGCAGCCCGAGAAGCCCGAGACTCCTGGCCAGCCCGAGCAGCCCGAGACCCCCGAGACTCCTGGCCAGCCCGAGCAGCCCGAGACCCCCGAAAAGCCTGAGCAGCCCGAGACCCCTGGCCAGCCCGAGCAACCTCCTGCTCCCCCTGCCCAGACTCAGCCCGAGCAGCCTCCCGCTCCTCCCGCTCAAACCAAGCCTGTTGTTCCTGAGCAGCCTGGCCAGCCCGGTAACGGCACCGTTCCTCAGCCTCCTCCCGTCTACCCCAACCCTCCCGCTACCGAGACTGGAGCCAAGCCTATCGTCCCTCCCACTCCTGTCCCCGGCCAGCCCGAGGAGTGCGTTCCTTCTCAGTCTGTGACTGCTATCACCAAGGAGTACACCACCGTCCTCACCAGCGTTGAGTACTCTACCATCCAGGTTCCTTGCGCCACTGGCACCAACCCTGCCACTCCTGAGCAGCCTGAGAACCCTGAGAACCCCCAGAACCCTGGCGAGCCTGAGGTTCCTGCTCCTACTGGACCTGCTGTTCCTCCTCCCGCTACCACCCCCATCGGCGGTGGCAACCAGACGTGAGTATCCTGATATTCTTTACTATTTAGACATTTTACTAACTTAACTGCAGCATGCCTACTCCTCCCGCTGTCACTGCTGGTGCCGCTACCTTTGCCGGCTCCGCTTTCTTCGCTGCCGTCGCTGGTATCGCCGCTTTCATCATGGTTTAAACTAATCCCAATTTCAACTGCACCTGTTTAGGCCTGCTGGCTATGGCAACTCATGAACTCTTCTGTATTTAAAGTCTTTCAATGTACAATACTCGACTAGGCCTTTGAATACCACCGCTATCTTGGCGTTTTTACTTTGTATATTATTTCTCTAATCTGCAGTCTGGCATTTGCGATTGGAACTACATTATGCTGTTTGATGCTACTTTTATGATTCCATCGTCGTGTCTTTCTAGTACTTAATTAATCAACTTGACATTTAAATCTCGTTCGGGCATTTTATGCAAAGACGTTAGAAATGAGTTTATTTAGGAATGGTGCCAAGTATCCTAGTCAAGCCACCAGTATGCCGACCCCTGGCAAATCTGGGGTGAAAGGACGCCAATTCATCTACTCCACCCGTCTCATTTCCCGAATCGTGCATCTCGGTGAGATCTTGAGCACTGACTTTGTATGGTTAACGAATTTGGAATACGCAAATTGCCAAATATCGCTTCCAACATTTCCACAACTTCATTTACATCTAATAGGAAGGACGCAGAGTCTAGATGTTTGTAAGTAACAAGGATACGGTCAAAGATGAAACGGCTCATTTAACATATGGTGAGTTTGCTCGAAGATGGTGTGAGGTTAGTCGCAGGGGGCAATCAATTTCCGGAGTCTATTACTGGCTTTACTATCTGGAGACCATGGAGTTCCCATTGATGTCCCTTGGTTCCAAGGTCTATGGAGTGCCCGTTTGAACCCAAATATTTCGTTGGATGTCCTGAAATAACGAAGACAGCCCGGCAACGTCGTAGAAGGGCCTCCTAAGGGACTCTAGCCAAGTCCCTCAGTAAGTCCAAAGAGTTAGCGTGCCAGGCCATAACCTAGGACATATGTTTTGCAAGGAAAGTCGTGACCCAACTCTATGCGTCCTTAGATAGATAGGGACGCCTCATTGACGAGCGGGGTTCCTGAGAGGAACCACGCAAACACTCGCCTGCCGTTAATACACCAGGCAAGAGACGCTCAATCTAATTAAATGGGCCGTTCTATCGGTCATGTGTCTGTTTATTGAAGCACTCCTCTTTTCTGACTACTGTTGTAAAGAGTCTGGTGGGTAGCAGAAAATTAGACGCTGAAAGCATAAGAGACGAAACTAGTAGGTCAGTTTATGCTCCTTAGACTATAGTTCTTAGACTACTTATTCTTATACCCTAAGACTTATGAGGCTAAAGTTTCTGCCACCTATTGGCAAGTTGTAGATGAGTGCCGCCATATCAGCTTCGAGCTGTCTTGAAGGACAGTCTCCATGTTCAAGTTACTACAGTATCCCCGTCCTTGACCGGTCATGTCCGGACGATAGTAGATTCCCCGCACGACGCCTGAATTGGCCAAGTTTCTGTTACGTTTTACTCATCTGAAAGCTGCAACATGATGAAGATAGTAACTGTATTCCATAGGTAGGAGAGTATTGATTTTGGTTAATAATGATGAAAAGCCCATAAAGGTAACACTAAACCTTGCCTAAACCACGCCTAAATGACCTAAACTTAGGAATTATTAGCACACGACCATGCAGAACCTGTAGAGGTGCGGCTAGCCGTGATGATTTCGAGCACTGTCCCCCACGTGCCTAATACCATAATCACTGTGCCAACAATAATGACTATAATGCTCCAGCACACACCCACCATCCACATACCTGTGCCACGATGCTTTCCCTTCCAATTGTCATAGAGCCACATACCCCCATATGGCTGGAAGCAGAGCAAAGTACCAAAAGTTGAGCCGATGAGCGATACAAGAGAGCCAAAGATAGGGATGGCGCTTGCAATGATGTATGCAGTCACGGTAATACCGGCTGTACAGCCAAGCCAAGTCCCCCAATGGACGAGACTGTTGCGGTGAAGATGCTCAGAACCACGGAGGATACGGAGGAAGACGTATTTTGCCGGGATATGAGTGACGATCATGGCAGTAACAAGTAGGCCGGGAAGCGCAAAGCCATAGCAGATCCTCTTGATTATAGGACCCGCAGAACCGAGTGCAGGAGATGAGACATAAGAACCGCAGGAGACATAGACAACGCATCCAATGACAATATACACTGCAGCCACAACTGATTGGGAATACGTCAGGGCGCGGGTGTAATGTCTGGGCTCGCGCATCTCTGCCACTATCGAGAAGAACGCGGGCGTGCCAGCAAAGGCAAAGACTTGACAACCGATTGCACTGAAAGCCTGCTGGATGCTGGGATTGCCGAATAGTTTCCAGTCTGGCTTCCAACCACCATTCATGGGGGGAGCGGAAGCGGGTTGATCTTCGAGCGTAACAGCGATGGTGACAGTAATGATGGCGGTCATGATGCAAACAAGGCCAATCCAGGCAAGCCATCCTATCTTGCCGAGAGTTCGGATGCTTGCAAAGGTGAAAGTGAGAACGGCTGCGACTGCGACGAACACAGCAGTGCATGCGGTATGTTTAGAAACGGCGTTGAATGCGATCGAGATGCCCAACATGGCTGAGCCAGAAATAAAGATCCAATCTAGGAGTGTCAGTGTTAGTAGAGGCTTGCATAGTGACGGAAGGACTTACTGAGCATGAAACTGACTGCGAGGAACTCGCGTCCATATCGCCCAAGCATTTTATATCCAGCGTCGTCTATCGTGTAAACGTCCGGATGGTTGCGCTTAAAAGCGCCAACCATATAATTTGACCAGCCGGTGATCAAGCCGATGAGGCAGAGGGTAAACATCCCCGGGACAAGCCCAAGGATATCAAAGCTTGTAGGGATTGAAAGCACGCCAAGGCCTATCTGTGTTTTTGTCATAAGAGCAAAGGTCGACACCCAACCAAGCGCATGATAGTCAGGTCCGTCTCCAGGACTTCCAAAGACATCTAGGGGGGCAGGCTTAGACATAGTTGGCGAGCGTTAAATATGTGATTATGATGATGATGAAGAAGAAGAAGAAGAAGAAGAAGAAGAAGAAGAAGAAGAAGAAGAAGAAGAAGAAGAAGAGAGACCCCGAGGGTGGACTGTCCTTTTAAGCTTGGGTGAATTGTCTGTGAATCAGAGCAATTGGAATGACCTGCTTCTGCTCCTGCTTCTGCTCCTGCTCCTTTAAGCATCTCCATACTTCTTAGGATATTCCTAGGCAAGCACTCCCTAATGAGTGCGATGACGGGCACATTATGGCAGCTGCAGTTGTTGTTTACCTCCATAGGTACCTTAGTGCTTTCTGATAAGACGTCTCAAGTTAAAACCCCGTATGTGTACGTTTGTTCTTTCTTCGGTTTTATTCATAAGAACCTTCAGATACAACTCAAAAACGCCTCAGGGTATCAGAAAACTTGACTACTGGAAGCACAAGAGACGAAATTAGTAGGTTACGTTATGCTCCTTAGAGTATAGTTCTTAGACTATTTATTTTTATACCTTTAGACTTAGGAGGCTATTTAGATGGTAGTCAATTGAGTTTTGATTCCTGGGGTCATTGACCTTAAATTGACCAACCATTTATTTCCCGGGGTCAACAGCTTGGAAGGGGTGCAAGATGTTAAGTGCAGATGCAGATGCAGATACAGATACCCAAATTTCTAGACGTTCAGGCATTTCATGACATCGAGGATCGCTACGATTCAGGCCAAGATCTTTCGAGGTTGACCTTGCCTCCAAATATCAGATCCGTAATATCGATTCAGAAGAAAGACACTTTAAAGCTTTATCGAGCGCCATGTTTTATGCAAGGCTTCGTCACATTGCAGCTTTCAGATGAGCAAAACAAGACAGAAACTCGGCTAAAGTCAATTGTTGTCATGGTAGGCGATTCAATGCGAAGCAACCGCTGCCAAGTCGATCACGAGATCATAAGTACAAAAAAAGTACAGTACAGACCAGACAAAAGTTCCTCAAGTCAAACTGTCCTCGGTCCGATGTATACCTTCTTGTGGCTTTGATACGTTCCCGAACCCCGAGGCCTTGAAGTCGGCCCCTAGAACCGTCGAATGCCGGGATTTGGAGGCTTTGACTGCACTGACTCGTCTTTATATTGATTGGGACTGGGTAAGTTTGGCCATTTTCGTGTCAGTCACAGCGCGTATTCTCATTGAGAAGTAAGTTACTGGGTCCTAGAAACTGCAAAGGCAAAGAAGACCTCAACAGGAAGGATTATGACAAGAAATGGACATCCATGAAGGATCGTGGTAAGAGATGGGCATTCATAGTTGACTGGAGTGTTTTCGTTAACCTCATTAGCTCCGCTATCATGGTCTTTGGAACCTAGGGATATCAATGGGAACTCTATGGTCATGTAAGGCTTCCAGTAGATTCTTGGTATTTCGGTATTCAAGCTCAATGGTTAAACCAAGAGTGGTCTTGTCTTTGTGTTGAAGGAAGAAAAGGCGGGCTGCTTAGCAGGTCTCACAGTGCTTTTGTATTGTGTAAGAATACCTAAGGTTGCTTAAGGGACCTTTCCTGACAAAGCTGCACGATTCGAGTCACCATACTTCGAGGACAACCCCATCAAATTAAGCCTCGGACGCGCAAAAGAAGCTTAAGACCATAAAAGTAACACTAATCCCCGCCTAAAGGACCTAACCTTGGGCATTATCATCGCACGACCATCAGGATACCCGTACCCACTATGATGGTTGGCTGGAGCTTGCTAGTCATGTAGGTACGAGTATCATGGCCACATCTGTTAAACCATAACACAGGTGTCCTAAGGAGGGCTCATGAGTGCCCGTTGACGTCTTGCTTGCCTTTGCGATTTCCAGTATAGTTCTACCATGAAGTCGGCTGGCTATAAAACACAATCTCCAGCAAAAATCTTGATAGATGTGGTAACATTCGGCAGTGGCGTTGATGAGACGTTTCAGACCGTGTTCGTATGGCGCCAACGGCTTGCAGTCAATTCAGACTTCAAGTAATGGCTCGACGGTTCTGGATCAACGCTATGGATTTGTAGGTCATCATAATAACTCCGCCTCTGAAAGCTTAATCAATGAGGATCTTGGGCTCCAAAGATCCATACTTCTCAAAGAACTCCTTAAATAGCCGGATGCCGTAGCCCACATCTGCAGTACCTCCGGTCTCACGAATGCTGTGCATGCTGAGCTGAGGGTTGCCGAGATCCAGTGTTCGCATACCCAGAGCAGCAGCAAGACCAGGGCCAATGGTGCTACCGCAGGGTGAGTCGTTGCGGACGACGAAAAGTTGAAGAGGGACACCAGCTGTGCGAGCGCACTCCTCAATGAGAACAATTCCTGGCGAGTTGGTGGCATATCGCTGGTTGGCGTTGATCTTGACGACAGTGCCACCGTTCATGGCTGGCTGATGCGACGACTCGTATTTCCCAGCATAGTTGGGGTGCACAGAATGAGCCATATCAGCAGATACGAGGAACGATCTTGATAGAGTCTGCTCGTATGCAGTAGCTTCCTCGCCCTCATGGTGGACAGCCTCGTAGCTACCCTCACTAGAGGCATCCCTGTTTCCAGGAAGAACTGAGAGGCGGCGGATGACAGATGGCAGTAGGTTAGAGTTGGCACCCTGGGCAGATGTAGAACCAATCTCTTCGTGGTCGAAGCAGACAGTCAAGCGAATAGTGCTATCATCCTCAAGAGAGGACTCGTCCTTGACTGACTCGATGAGTCCCTCTACTGAGCAGTATGTCATGCCAAGGTTGTCAAGACGAGGAGAGAAGATGAACTCGTCGGCAAGACCACCGATACATGACTTTTGAGTATCGTAGAGCACAAGTTCAAAGTCCACAATGGCGGAGACGTCAACTCCTGCCTCGGCTGCAATAACATCGAGGACCTGAGGGTGGTGTCGTTCAGTGATCACCTTCAGAGGCTTGAACTCCTCATTTTCCTCGTCCTCGTCCTTCTTCTCTTCAGACTTCTCCTTGACACCCTTGTTCAGCTCGGCTGCAACAAGTCCTGCAATGGGGAAAAGCTCGGTTTCTTTGTTGGGATCGAAGTTGGTCTGTCGGTGGAGGTGGATAGCGAGGGTTGGAATTCTCACCAAAGGCTTGTCGACCTTGACAAGCTTCTGAACAAAGTTGTCACCTTCCTTGACCAGAACACGACCAGCGATACTTAGGTCACGATCGAACCATGAGGTCCAGATACCACCACCATATGTCTCGACACCGATTTGGAGGAAGCCTACGTTGGTCTTCTTGGAAACGGGCTTCAGTCGAAGGCAGGGAGAATCGGTATGAGCACCAACGATGGCGACAGGGTTACCAGGACGCCACTTTCGGCCGATGGTGAAAGCAACGATAGTGGATGCATTGCGAGTAAGGTAGTACTTTCCGCCGGGACGAAGGGTTGAAGCCCACGAGTCACGCTCACGGATGAGCTTGAAGCCAGCCTTTTCGAAACGGGCTGATGCAGATTGAACGGCGTGATAGGCTGTGAGATGTTAGGTTTTGTATTATACAATCAGGCTGGAAAGTCTTACGAGTTGGCGACGCATTGACAAAGTCAACAAAGTCAAGAGCTTCCTGAGGAGGTGCCATGATGGGCGAAGAAGTGGAGAAGGTATATGTGAATGGGGTAGTTACAATTGCGGATCTGATTGTTGGTAAACGTCGTGAAGAGAGACGAAAGAGAGCGAGCATCTGGTGGAGAGAGGGAAAAGTAAAGGAAGCGGTGGGAGTTTAGAACTAAGTTAGGATTGAAGACGTCGTTGGGAAAACGGGTCATGTGGTTGGTTCGTTACTGCGGGAAGCTGCAACTGTTCTACCTGCCACAATCACCGAGGCGGGGCTTATCTTATCGGAGTAGGAGCTTCCCAATGTGGAAGTACGTCATTGAAACAATCAACTCTTTACAGCAGTAGGTTAGTAGGCACTAGGCAGTCCAGATACCCTCACATTGACTTGGTCTTCATTTTGATTCAAATCATTGATTTCTTCTATATCTTCTCTTATATGTCCCATCATGTCATACAAAGCTCAATGGCTGGAATATATCGCCAGAGCAGTGGTATCAAGTTCTATCTATCCCAAACAGAAAGCAAAAGCCAATCAATATCGCTCAACAAGAAATCCCGAAAACACAGTAATAAGGAGAGATTTTGGCGTAGAGCTTACACTCCAAACAGACCAGTGCCGAATTGCTTAATTGTTATCTGAGCCAGAAGCGACGCCCTTCTCAGTCTGAGAGACAGAGTTGGTAATCTCAGACTTGTTGAATACAAGACCAGGGTGACCGAAGAAGAGAGCAATAGCGGCGATAACAATGACAGCACCCTCAAGGATGATGAAGGGAATCTCATGCTTGATCAGCTCACCATCGTATCCCTCGCGAAGCTCAGCAACACGGTAGATGCATCGAGTGAGGATGAGAATGATGGAAGCAGAGAGACCAACAAAGAAAGCAATCATGCGCCAACCAAAAGCCTGAGCTTGGCCAGATCGCCAGTATCGGATCATGTAGTCGGAGAAGGCGGCGATGAAAGCAACGAGGACGATGACCTGGAGGGCAAGACCGGCCATTGAGACATCAACGCCAACGGTGCTGTCGCTTTCGGTGGACATGGCACCACCAGCGGCTTGGAGGATCAAGCAGACAATGTCGAAGGGGATGAAAATCCAGATGAAGAGCTGAGGCCTGAAGCGGGAGAGCTCAGGAGAAAAGTAGTTGATTGCTTTGGAGAGGGTGACGTAGATGGAGGCAGTGTAGAAGACGGGAGCGATGGTAAGACAGACTAAAGACAAACTCGTTAATGTGTGATGATTGTATAGTGGAAGGATAAGTACTTACCAATCTGGATCATGAAAGCGTTGAAAGAGAAGGGGTTGTACCACATCATGATGCGACCAACATAGCCGACGACTTCGGACATGCAGCCCAAAAGCATACCAGTCATGAAACCCCAGCTCTTCCATCGAATACCGAGATAAAGGTGCACGATACCGATGAGAGAAAAGAGAACGACAAAGACAATGTTGGCAGCGAGAGAGGGCCGATAACCGTAAAGACTCCAGTCGATGGGGCAAGTGTCGAGATCGCAAGGAGAGTCAGAGCCAAAGGCGTCCTTGGGGTCGATGGAATAGTTGTAAGGCATGTTGTTGGTTAGTAAGAGAATAGTATGTATGAGATGTATTTTAGAAGGATCAATGTAAGCTTATTGTTGAAGCTGTGTTGAGATGAGTGTGATGATGATAAAACCTCTTCTTGGCTGGGGAAGATGGGGATTGATATAGACATGATGAAAGCACTTTGTATATACAAAATATTCATCATATTTGATACAAACCTCGGACTCGGACTCTGATGTGTGCAAAAGCCCCTGCTGCGTTTGAGGCTCATCCACCAAGCTTAGCTATCTAAGCTCCCATCGCTCTCGCATTTTAGCGCCGCAAAGGTCGCTCCACGAAGGACGATAGGCGAGACTCCATTGGAACAAGTAAGGATTTTCGAAATGGGAATGCGACTAGAGCATCAGCCTCCATGGGCTAATGGGGGGCGGTGTCAGCATTTGACAAGCTGCAGTAAGAGGCTAAGAATGCAAGCTAGTCAAGGTGTGCTCTTTTGTTTCAGAGAAGCCCGTAAGCACAGGTGTTTTGTTAACGGGAATATTAATCGTATGGCTTTATGTAGGTCTTCTTTTGGTTGTAATTGTCATTCCAGATGATACTACGGATAGTCACCTCAATTATTCAAAGTTCTATTCTCAACAGCTACCAAAACATGGACATGAACCAAACCCTGTCTGAAATAAAGAGAGCACTCGCTGCATTGGTACTTTACGGAGCAATTGATCTGCCGCTAGCAATTGCGAGAAGCGAGTCCGACTCGACGAACCAATCATCATCTCGATCATATCCCAAAGGATGCATAGCCTGATAGGGCTCATGCCAAGATTGTCTTGATGGTATTTCAGCTACGCGTCATTCATGGATATTCAGCCTTGATCCATCCTTCTCGAAATAATTTCCTTTCTTTAGTATCCGTTACTAGCTGACAGCTTGAATCGTCGTCATCTTTGGTGTACACATTCACAACGACACTCAGCAACCACTCTTCACATATTGTACTTTCACATCTCACAATAAGCAGTCGAGATTTTCCTGTGATTTGTATGGTAGACAACAAGTCCTAGTCTCGCAATCTGACCGCCAGCTCAAAAGCAAGCAAGCCAATCTTGTCACAGTCCACCAAACTATTATCTTACCATCCATTCCAACGTGTTTAATCCTTATTATTTTACACGTGTACGCGTAACTGCTTCATCGTCTTGCACTTTAATTTGAAGCTGTCATATCGAAACAAACCCATGCTCCATACCTGAACCACTGTCAGATTCTTGTAGTAAGAGCTAGCATACGTAGTAGAAAGCTATGGCACAACACTAGTGAGAAGTAATCCACTACTGCAGTCGTTCTCTGCGGTGGGATTGACTTGTTTTACAGTAGTCAAAGCATATTGATCCGACTCCGTGTCCGTGTCCGTACCGTTGACGGATTTCGGCCGATATTATATCTTCCGGTTTGAGTGTGGATAACAAAGTCTCCTGTTCTCATTTCCGATCGATGCCTTCATGCTAATGATAAATAGTGACTCATAAATTACAAAATGTAAAGTGTGTTCAAGTCATATCAAAATCTCATCTTTTCAGATAGATCTTTGGGATAATGCTTACATGTCTCATTCGACAGTACCCAATACATGCAAACACACAAATTTCCACACATCATAACTAGCATCTTACATCTCTTTCTGAACATACTGTAAGACAATCTAGTCGACTCCAAAAACACAACATAGCCTATTAAGTGTCAATCCGTAACATGGTGCTTACTTGAGTGCCTGGCAACAGTTGTCTGGATCTAAAGTACCCGTGACTACTAAGGCTACCTCCCATCAAAAGACACAAGTATCGATTACTTAGTAACTACTGATGAGTGGAGCAGAGTGGATGAAACGTTTGGCCGTATACAACGCCGATAAGTTGAACGTAATACTATACATAGTTTCCAAAATTATCTTGAATATAAAATACAGTAAATCAAGTTGATCTATCACCAAAAAACCAAATAAGTAGTGTACCTAAATGGACAAACCCAGACATCGTCAGCCCCGATCTCGATGCTTGTAACTCCCTAAATAACGCCGTGGGATATCTCAGATAGTTCAAATCCAGATGAGAACATCATGATGCCTCAATACCGTCCATGATCATTAAACAAACAATGCCTTCCCAGCAAGATTTCCTGTCGCTTTGTACCTTTGTTCGATCCACATGATCCACCCAGAAAGTATGTAACCAGAGAACGCCTTCAACACTATCCCTATCCATCTTTTCCTTTTCTTTTTGTATTATATTGGTTATTATCCCATCAGCTTTGCTCCCCGTTTTCTGAAGGTGCAATCTCTGTCGCCTGGGAATCTATAGAGTCTCGTCGACTTCTCGTCTCAACCGCTTCCGCTTCCTCTTGGACAGGCGCAGGTGCAGGCGCAACGGGAGATACGGGACTCTGCACGCGGACGACACGCGGGGATTCGCGGGGCAGCGGTCGTTGCTGAAGTTCGGAGAGGGGCACGGTCGTTTGGCCTGTGCGGACTTTGTAGTTGGCGAGCGATAGGCGAAGACGGAGTGTTTCTGCTCTCTGTTTCGTTATGTTAGTGAATGATTCGTGTAGGTCGAGGTGAGCTGGGACAAAGCGTACTTGTCTTATTTGCTGACGTGTAAGTATTGTAGGTTGCTGTGTAGTTTGTTCTGTAGGTGCGGGAGCTGTATCATGATCGCTCGTGGTGGTAGCCCATGATGCATCGTTGGCAGACGTGTCGAACACGGAGCTCACGTCAGGACTGGCACTTCTCACAGACGCGTCCTGTACAATCAATGTCAGCAAAAGCCATTTCCTCATGACAAGCCTTGTATATGCTGTAGTTGGATAGCCCATACCTCATCACGTCCCAGACACGCCTTCTTGGCTGCCGGCGCGCTACCCTCGATATCGAGCAGCCTCTTCTTACCCTCAATAGCCATCTTGACAGGACTATGACCCAGCGTGGGCTTAAACAAGTTCTTTGGTGTACCAAGCGCGTTGGCATCCAATGGAGCGAGGGCGCGTCGCTTTGCAGGTGAAGATGTAGATGATGATGTCGTTGAAGGCTCCATTGCCTGAAGCCGTTTGGTAGTACAAGAAACGGAAGAACGGATTAGATAACCAAAAGGAGGAAGACACAAGACAAAAAAAGGTTGCGCGTTAGAGAGAGGGCGTTTTTTTTTTGGTCGTGTTCAACGTGTTAGTGGGAACGAGGAACGTTGGATGGGAAAGTAAAGTAAAGTGGTGGTTTTGTCTAGGAGGGACGCGGGCGATAAGATAAGGTGGGGGATGATTTCCAGACTTTGGCGTTTTTGGGTTGATTGGAGAAGACGATCTTTGGTAGATGGGCTTTTTTCCTAGTCAACCAAACACGACAATAAAATGATATAAAGAAAGAAAAGGATGTAATTCATTCGCGATTCGAAATATTCTTCTGCATCTCAATAGTGTCTCTCTCATTCCATCACCAAAAGACCCCGTTCCTAAACCCAGCAACCAATTAATACGTCCTTCGCCTGTCACGTCTCACGGCCCAGGTACTTTACAGAGTCTCTACACGGTCGCGCTTTATATCCTTGTCTTTTAAAACCCCAGCCATCGTCTATTTTATTTACTAAATACCGCATCCGGTCTAGCTCGGCTTATATAATGATCTCCAGCTGCAGACATCGCGTGCGTGTCAGAGGGTCTTCAATCTAACCGAAATCTATTTAGCGTTTGCTTTCCCGTGCCTTGTGGGGCTGAGTCTCCCGTCACGGCCCAGATGCATGAACGGCAAGTCGGAGGCCAAGGTAACATTCAACTATACCTCTCTCTGCATCAAATACAAACATCAACAGAATGGGAGGACTGCGAAAGGTAGCAAAATGCTGGGTATCATTTGGTCCGAGTCCATATCTATGAAACTCAGGACCTCATCGCCACTGTCAGGACGAAGTGTCTTGATAGCTTCAACTGGACTAAAACAACCAACTACAAAGCGCTCCAGAAACTACTAATCGTCAAAACAAGACATAATGCATTACCAAAGTTGCCTCCCACCACAAAAAACTCCCATGCACCCTCTGTCGGATCACATCCTGTCTGTCATCCTTGATTCAGAACAATGCGCCTGCCATGATGTTTTCAACCCCTTCCACCTTTTACTGTCCACCTTGCAACCAAACACGTAAGTACTTTCCAAAATAAATAAGAGTCCCAGCATCCAAAGCTGGAGTTTGATATAACGATAAAACAAAACTTTGGCCGAAAATGTACCGCTGCATGGTTGTATATCCCATGCGACATCTTAATTACTGGCCTGGTTATGTTCTCAATACCCAGTCGTATACTATCCAATGCCGTTCAACGGCTTGGAAGTTATGAAGTAGCCATGTAGTAATGCTGGCTAGTGTCGAATTGGAAGGGCTTTGAAAAGTCCATCTTGACATCGTCCCAGTCTGGTTCTTGTAACGATGGCTGATCAAACAGCAATGCAGCATCCGCAGCCAGCATGTCGTTAACATTGCCACCATTGTTGCCCATGTTGAGCAATAAATCGGAATCCACATTGTGCCAATCGAAGTTGACCTCAAGGCTCGTGCTATCAGGAATATCGCTGTTGGGCTCACTACTACCAGTGTCCTTGGCAGACTCAGGGGTGTCTCTAGGTGTCAAATAGCTAAGAGCGTTGTAGTCGTAGAATGGATTATCATAAATTCCATTTCCGCGCTCGACTCCAAGGTTGCTGACCAGCATCTCGGGATCGATGTTGGCATTGGCCCATGGATCAGTGGTCATGAGGTCAACCGGCTTAGCATCGACCTGCTTAGGAGTCGCACCAGCCTTGACACCAGCTTTGTTATCTTGAGGCTTACCCATGCTGCTAGCAGATCGCTTCATATTGCCATCAGTAAACACAGGGGTGGCTGCCGTGGTAATAGGTGTCTGCCCTTGCTTGGAGTTTGTGACGCTCATGGAGGCCGCTTCAGCCTTCTTTGAACCATCGGGCTCAAGTCCCAAGGCCATAGCCAAGTTTTCTTGAACAAACTTCAAAGGATTCTCCCGTGGTTTCGTATGTTCCTCAAGAATATGCTGCTGAAGAGCTTGCTCGGTGCTGTAGCCGGTTGTCGAAAATTCGCATTCGGGTTCCTTGCAAGTGAGGACCGGTCTGTGAGCAATTTGGGTTTCCGACGCTCTTCGAACATCAGGAGATGTCTTCTTGCCGGCTTTAGGTGAAGGAGTGGCGGCCTGAGATGGTGTCCCGTTAGGTCTTGCCTTCTTGCGTGACGGGGGCAGATGCAAGTCGATCACCGGAGGCTTTCCAACATAGGTAGGGTTGCCTGCGCCAAACTCAAAGCCGCCGGGCGCATGGGTGGTCGTAGGGGCTGGCGGCGCCTGTGATCCCTTGTTGCCTCCCTTGGCGGCACTGCCCCTGCGAGCATTTTCGACTACTGGTACTGGTTGCCGAGGTTGAGGTTGTTGAGGCGCTGGTTGTGGTTGGACAGGCTGTGCGTTCTGAACTGGAGGTGTGACGTGCGGTTTAGCCATACCCATGTTTCTGGCCATCATCTCGGCAGCCAGATCCTTAGCCATGCCCTCAAGCATAACACGAGCTTCGGCGATCTCGGCGGAATCGATCGAGAATGAGTTCTTGAGAATAGACATCTTATCACCGTCGGCGAATTGTTTCAAGATCCTCCATCGCTGAGCCAAGTTAGCACGGGTTACTTTGTTAGGTCTGGGATATAACTTACCATTCGGAAGAACAGCTTCGCGCGTGTGTCATCGCGTGTGATGTTGTACCACTTGGTCAGGCCACGACCAATCTTGGTCATGTCCACCACAATCTTGGTGAGCTTGGCAGCCATCTCGCTGTGCTCCTCTTGGGACATGGGAATATCATTCATAACCTCCTGGATCGACTTGCGTTGTTCCTCCTGTCCAAGCGCTTTGAGGCGTGCCATGGTTTCATTGCCGGGTTGTAGATTACCAGCCCTGCTCATCTGCGCCTTCAGTAGCTGGGCCCGTTGCTCAGCAGTGAGGGAAGAAAGATCCTGAGGATTCATCGGCCTGGGGGCTTGAGGCTGCTGTTGTTGGTTGGGTTGTGACGCGGGTCTCGCAGGCACTTGCTTCGTAGCTTCAGGCACGTCGAGGGCATCGTCGTTGCTTGGGCGCTTGAGGTTCTTCGCTGCGGGTGCAGGTGATGGGTTAGGAGGTTGAGCACGGTTGTTGGCAGGTTGAGGTCTGACGTTTCTCATCTGCTCGGGAGTAACGGTCGGCTGTTTCTGGCCTCCCTGTTGGGGAGTAGCATTCTGTCCCATTGCTGTTGGTGCTTGTACAGGCTGGGTCTGAGGCGTCGGGTTCGGCTGAGGCGGTTGCTGGAGTTGCATCGGGGCTTGAGGCACACCCATCGGGTTCTGCATTCCTTGCTGGCCCTGGCGAGCAGCCTGGAGCTGAGCCTGTTGTGCAGCTTGAGCTCGTTGTTGCTGTTGGTTCATCCAGCCCTGCTTCTTCATTTGAATGACGATGCTGCGCAATTGCTCCTCGGGGAGACCTGCAAACTGGGGCTTCGATGCTCTGACCTGCTGAATCTCATGGGGAGCTGCCTGTAGGATCTGAGGCGGGAACTGCATCTGCTGTCGGGCTGCCTGTAGAGGATTAGGTCCTGGTCCGGCTCCAGGCTGCATGCCTTGGTTAGCAGTGTTTTGGCCAAGTGGTTGCGGCTGCTGGGCTTGCTGCTGAGGGGAGAACTGTTGTCCTGGTTGCTGCCCCTGAGGAGGTTGTTGCTGCTGCTGCTGCTGTGGCATCATCGCACGCCGTTGAATAATAAGTTGGAACTGCTTCTGCTGGATCGCCGCCAATTGGTTCCGCATGTGTGGGGGAATGTTGTTCTGCTGAAGCCACACCTTGAGCGGTCCCCATTTCTTGATCTCAGGAGGGATCTGGTTTTGGAGCTGGGTGAGGACTTGAGGTGGCAGATCCATCGAGTCCATCATGGCCAATTGCTGAGTAGGGTTGAACCGAGCCATTGGTCCTTGTTGCTGGTTGCCATTCATAGGTACGCCGCCCTGTGACTGTTGCATACCAACTGGCACTTGACCACCCATGTTGGGGTTCATTTGGCCCATCTGGCCAGGCGGGCGGTTGGGCATTTGCCCCGGAGTGTTCTGTCCACCGTTGGGTCCCATTTGTTCCTGGCGCTTGTTCTGCCAACGCTGCATCACCTCATTCAACTTGTCCGGGGACAGACCGCTCACGATTGCACGCTGCTCCTGTGGTAGAGCAGCCAGCATATGGTGGAAAGCCTGGCTGTTTGGTCGCTGTGCCCCTTGGTTGAATCGCTGGTCTCCGAATTGTACCCCGCCCTGGCCTGCCGCCTGGTTCATGTTATTCCCAGGTCGAGACACAGGTGTATTAAGTGTATTCATTCCAGGACTTTGAGAAGTTTGCATATTTCCTCCCATCCCCTGTTGGCTTTGCATCTGCTTCATCTGCTGAGCTTGAAGTTGTGCTTGAGTCTGCTGAGCCTGGTTGATCTTCATTTGCTGCTGGATGTTCATGTTCTGGTGAGGCTGTTGCTGTTGTGGCGGTCGGGGACCCTGTTGATTCGCTGCGTTTTGTCCGGCCGGCTGGGGTGTCGGGTTGCGGTTCTGTGCTGTGTTGGCGGGTACTACCATCTGCCCTGCTTGCTGGGCCATAAGCCCATTCATTTGCTCGGCCTTGATGCTCTCCATGTTGGAGGGAAAAGACGAGAAGTCGTTGTTCCCTTGATTGTTGTTGGTCGTTCCGTGTTGCTGCTGCCCTTGCTGTTGCTGTTGCTGTTGCTGTTGCTGTTGCTGTTGCTGTTGCTGTTGCTGTTGCTGTTGCTGTTGCTGTTGCTGCTGCTGCTGCTGCTGCTGCTGCTGTTGCTGTTGTTGCTGGAGTTGTGACTGCTGTTGACGGAGAGACTGCTGGCTTGCTTGCTGCTGCATCATGGTTGCCTGGTTGTTGTTACCATTTTGTGCCATCCCTTGCTGCGGCTGTCCCTGCTGCTGCTGCTGAATTCGGTTCATGTTTGCTTTTAGAACCTGAAAGGCTTGATTTTGATAAAACCACATCAAAGGATCGCGACCTTGACTTGTCATCTCCTGTAGCTGTGCAGGAGAAATTCGGGACTGAAGTTGCAGGCGGGTGTGCGCCTTTTGTTGTTCCGAGGCGGTGTTAAACATCTTTGTGGCGAGTTCTGTAACTTTGTGCTTGTCTTGCTGTGAAAGCCTGGCCATATCCTGGGGCATTTGGGTTTGCTGTGGGCGGCCTTGTCCCGCAGGCATTCCGACCATTTGTTGTCCCGGGCCCATGCCGCGACCAGCCTGGTTTGCCATGCCCATACCCATATTCATGCCGGCACCCATGGGAAGCTGCTGCTGTCCTTGTCCCATTTGGCCACCTTGCGTTGGGTGTTGCATGGGCTGGAAGCCTTGCTGCAGACCTTGGCCCATACCGCGTCCCATTTGCATGTTCATCATCGCCTGTGCTTGGGCCTGAGCCTGAGCATTGACGTTTATGCTATTTTGGAGGTTAGGCTCGTTGGCCTGCCGCCGTTTAAAGAATTCCATAATCTTTTGGCCCATCTCTTGGTCATAGGCTTCCTAGAAGTGCGTTAGTATACCGTAGACGGGGAACAAAGAATCTAGTTTTCAGCATACTTTTGTGGGGGACTTGTGAAAGGCTTCGCGCTCAAAGTTGCAGCCCCATTCTGCGCCTTTCATGTAATCACCACCATTCATAGCAAGGTTGATATTAGTGATCCTGTGATTGTCAGCGAGGTTGAAAACAAATTTTGTGGGAAGTCAGGGCATACAAATTCATAGTTTTTCCCATACGATCAGAGATTACTACATTTGCCTGCCAGCATATTCCAGTAAAAGGCTGCGTGTGCTGAACCAAGTTCTGATAAACTATTTGCTGGAGCTGATTGGGTGTCGGCTTCCGCATCGGTTGCTGCTGCATCATCTGGCCGGCCCCAGCCATGTGCTGCATGTTGGCCGCCATGGCCTTGTTGAAGGGAATGAGACACGTCCCAGTCTGGTGAAGAAATGTTGTCGCTCCTACAAGTAGATGCGTTGTTGTTTAAAAGATGAGCGGGGATTTGAATAGCGGGCAGAGTTGGATAAAGTCGATCAAGCGAGGTGGTATTTAAGGACAGTATCCGTTCAAAGTTTCGTTCAAGGTTTCGATGTGGATGAGCGAGGCGAAGCTTGCGTCAAGGGTACCTATGAAAACACAGGGCGGTCCATAAAAAGGCGGTGGTTTGTGCAACAAGGCAGGCAGGACTTGGGAACGCCAAAAGATAATACGCTGCGCGTGTCCGAACGTGCCCGAGTCTTGGTCAGGGCTTGTGTTGTTATCGAGCGCCGCGTCAGTTGTGCAGCAAGATTCGAACTTTGTGACGTCGCGAAGAGGAATCGCTGGCTGCAATGGTGTTTGAGAAGTATTAACAGGTTTTCGATTTGTTCGTCGATGTAGCGAGAACGGAGCAGTGGAAAAGGTTCCAGTTGCGGCCGTGATTCAGTCAGTCGTTCGGTATCGTCGAGACTTGGAAGTGTTGTTGTAGGTTTGAAGATAAACTACGGGGGTGATCGACTCGCGGTCATGCGGGTGTGATGGTAGCGAATACAAAACAGTAGACTAGCAAAATGTAAAAAAGTGAAGAGAAGCAAGAATCGCTGAGGTGGATAGCCGTCACAAGCACGATCGAGGTTCTCCTGTCAACCTGTTGAAGAAGAGAAGAGAGAAACAAGACATCAACCCAGGGCGGTCGGTGCTGGAGGTTTGGTGTTGTTTTGGTGAAAAGGTCGCAAGCGCTTTGGGTTGGGGGTTCCAAGGTGGTAGTAGTTCAGTCTAGTCTAATGTGCCCGTGGTGTGGAATTTTGGGCGGCGCCGGGAAGGCAGGCACCCTGGCCTGGTCCATGGACATGGCACCTCCAAAGGGCCCTGGATGTACCCGATACTTTGTCGCCCTCCACTCTGCAATCTTCTGTAATAGGCTGACAGAGCTAGCCAATGTGGGTGCAAACTACAGTGCTTGGGCACAAGGGTCAGGGCGACTGCCGAGTTGAAGCATTTCTCTTTTTTGCTAGCAGTTCAAGATTTGGGAGGTAAAGAATGACGATGTTGAATCTTGATTGATCTCGATCTTGGGGTTATTTTACAGAGTAACTCTACCATGTCTCAATACAAAATCAGTGACAGTGTGACGACAAGAAAAAGGAGGGCATATTCCCCCTTTGGGAGGGGGCTATTCTCATCACCAACTGAATGAGTGGGTGGATGGATGGGTGAATAAATGAATGAATGGATTGATGATCTCTCTCTGTCTGCCGGCACTGTAAAGTGTAAATCCAGGCACGAGCCCAGTGTCAACTCAACCGTTTAAACTCTATCCTTGGGAACCCTGTCTTCAAGTCTAGCACTGTCGCAGTACACAGCCAGCCGTCGATCCTCTTCTGTCAACAATTGTTTCAAACAATTTGACAATAAACTCGACCTTTGTCCCATCAACTCGAGAGGAACTCACCATGTCGACAGTAGGTCCTTGGAACTTCCAAGATCACGGTGGATAAGGCAGAGTCGCACTAGAGCCAAGAAGAGACATGGACAAGCGTCGGCAGGGCGCCTGGGCCTGAGCCTAGAGTCAGGCTAACCCTGAGTAGGACTACACGGTACAGAATACATGGCTGTCTCTCCCGTCCATCATAGAACCCTGGAGCTAGGAGGACATCTAGGTCATTTTGCAGCGCTGTGCTGGATTAAACAGCGGGCTTTCAGGTGTTGTCTCTTCTGGTACGTAACCATACCGCTATATGAATCAATATGCTCGAATCCTTGTACATCTACACAGCCACTTCTTCAGTTTATTGCACATCTTTATACACCTCAACTTTAGCTAGAGTGTTGCTGTTCTATCATCCTCTAACGCCTGGCTATTCAGGTTTGTTTCTGCTTCTTCTATCCGTACTTCTGCTTCGTACACGTTCAGCCCAGCGTGGCATGTAGGTTTTTCCTCTTCCCTGTGGCGACCCCTCCTAGGTCCCCTCCCTCTCAACTACCCATGTCCATGGATACACATCAAAAGTTGAGGCGGTGGCCGCATGAGCTACTACTGGGCGTCTATCTGTCCGTCGTTGGACGGCCGCTAACTCGAATAGTTTTATTGTCCCGTTGGGTTCATGTATGTATGCATATGCGTACAAACAGACGGGCCGGGTAGTAACTTAACTTGAGATAACCTCTTTATTCCAATCTTTCTCTCAAGGTACAGAGTAGTAGTCTATAGTACAGTACTACTGTTATACTACCCACGGATGTCAGTCGCGTCAGGGTTTCGGCGACAGCTGAAACAAGAGGGGACCGAAAATCATCAGAGTGTCAAACCCACGCACGGCTACAAAGTTGGCAAGGAACGGAAATAGACAGCACGCGTCAACGGTGATCGACCAGACTTGAGAAGGAGAAAGAGTTTGGCAATGACATTGATTGCCGTCCATAACGCGCGCAACCGAAATCAATTGAATTGTCTGTTCAATTCATTTCACCTCAAAGCCTCAACCTTGACTTATTCGAGGATCGGCCGTTGTTATATCCAACAAACCTGGCATTGTACTGGTCAAGGATGCAACGCAAATCAGTGGGGTAGCCTTTCTCTTGTCAGATTGAACAACAGACAGACAAAAAGAGGCGTCGTCCGTCTCTGGCTTGGTCTGATCTGGTCTGGTCGAATCGAACCTCAAACGAAGGAGCCCAGAAACAGAATCCAAGAGGGAAACCCTACGACAATAAAGTATTGGAGACAAAGGTGACACGCTTGCACAACAAGGAAACACTTGGGAAAATCGACTATGGTTTCATTGGTTCGAGTCCCACCGATCTAGTTAGGTAGTGAGTCGGAGAGAATGAGAGAGAGAGATAGAGAGAAAGCAAGCAGAGCAGAGCAGAGCAGAGCAGAGCAGAGCAGAGCAGAGCAGAGCAGAGCAGAGCAGAGCAGAGCAGAGCAGAGCAGAACAGAGAGGACCTGGTTATTTGGCAAAAAAGGCCCCGCATCCCTGTTTCCCCTAGTCTGGTTGGACGCCCAGGCACGGTACAGTACCAGGTACTTTGAGGAAACGCGAGCATGGTCAAGGGCTTCTTTCTTGTTGTGCTTCTAATGGAAGCAAGATTAAATTAAGCCTAGCCCAGCACTGTACCGCACCGGTTCAGTTCTCTTGCGTCTTCTGCGCTTGAACCATCATGATTCGCGATTCAAGCGTTTCGGTCAACTAGTCAATCAATCATCTTGTCCATTGAGCAGGCTGTAGCGGCAGCGTGAATGTCTGCGTGCATATCAAGATGCAGGGTAGAGGCGGCCCTCCCGGTTCCATCCATGTACTATGTATTCTATAGCGCTGCATGGAGGGAGAGCGTGTGTTTGATGTGTGGTTGTGTGGTGGGCTGTCACCATGACCTTGGCTCGCGGATCATCCGTCATCTCAGCAGTACATGGTGCGATTTATTGTTTGTCCAGCTTGACAAGGTACTTTTAGGAAAACCACCTTGAAAATGACGAGGTTGAAAAGAAGACGGACAATTGAATTGAGAGTTGATGGTGATTATTAACCAGATCTTTCTCCCTCCTTCTCACTGTCTCCCCTTGGAGATTCGGCGACGGGGGTCCAGTAAACCGGAACAGGGTTAAGTTAGTAAAAGTCAAGGGGATCTTGGAGTAGTCCCACCTCATCAACGACCTCGACGACACACCGTTCAAAAGATATGTTGCAATCCGAAACATCGATATACATAGATATGAGCCCCTTACTGCCACTGAGAGGCGAGATGGGATGCCTCTTGAGAGACAGAGATAAGGACATAAACATGTACTGTTTGTTGGGACTACAGATATATGAGGCTATGGCTATGGATGGTTCCTTGGAAACCGATGTTGGATGGGTGCGGAGATGCCACGAGGGCCGGGATGTCATCGTCACACATACGCTCACTCACGCCGGGCAGTGACTGACTGACCAAGAGTGACTGATGGTTAGTTGACATCAGCAAGTATGACTTCAATCCTACTACTATTCGTGGTTTCAATGGTATCTCGACAACAAAAAGAATACACCATCATAGCACAGCATAGCATAGTATATCACATTAAATATTAAAACCATGCAAAACATGTTAAATTGACCTTGTATCTTATTTCTTCCCGCCCTTGAGCTTTGTTGGTCGCCTCACCAGGCAAGCCGATGGTCCTCCATCTTCATCTCCATGTGCCCCTCATCCCTGTCTTTTAGTTCCCCCCTGTACATATACACGCCCATCGTTGGAGGACCCCGTCCGCTCACACCTTTTCCCCTTTGAGACACGTCTAGGTAGATGGTACAAAGACTAAACAACCTGCGCGTGATGGTTAGTTTGAGAGTCTCTTTTTTCTCCAGCTGTTGCTTTCGATATGGACAGTTCAATTGCGATGGACTCTGTAGTTCAGTTCTGACTGTCAACTTGGACAACAGCCCTACAAGCCTCAATTGAAGTATCACAACAGACAACTGACTGACCACAATTAGGTCAGGTCAGGCTGTCTCAATGCCGTCAGTGTCAAACCCCAAATGGCTTGCTTCCCTAGCTGGGGTTAGTGCTAATGCTACCACCGCATTAGCTTCAGGTCGATTGGATCAGATGAAGAAATCAGGGCCCCTTGGTCTCCTCGTGCCCTGTCCAGTTAATTTTGTTCCATCGCGGCTACATCTTGTTTTTTTTTTTTTGTGGTTAATTATACGATGCACATCGTTGATTGATTTTCTTGCCTGCTGGAGTGATGAAACAGAATGGGATTGTTACAGAGGATGTGAATAATGATGTCCATCCATGGGCTATGACTGATATGCGCAGGGCTATAATTGAGGATAATATAGGTAGAGACGGGTCAGGCTCGCTATCTCAGCCCTGTTCAATTCATCCGTCCAATTGAATTACTCGAGTTACATCTGTCCAGGCTTGACCTT